GCCAGGAGCTAGGGAAGACTATATGCCAAACTTCCTGCACAAATTCGCACAAGAAAAAGATATGTTCCCTTGTTTCTTCTGATCTGCCACAAAGAGGACAGACAGTGCAGATAGTAGGGTTCCATCATCTAAGTTTATCTAATGTGTTAATCCTATCAATCAAAACAAGCCAAGTCAGCAGTGAGTTCTTAGGGATACCACCCTTCCAAACCAATCCAGACCACTGCACTAGATCACCTTTTGGTCTCAAGCTATGCCACACCTTGCTAATTTGGAACTTTTGAATGAGTTCTCCATCCCATTCTATGCCCCTGTTAGTTTTACATAACCTCCCTTCCACCAAGCCCTTGATTTTAAGTATCTTGTTCCATACCCAAGACCCTCTCGTTTGGATTTCGCAGATGCTCTGATGTCGAAGACGGTACTCATTTAACCAAGAAATCCATAGGGTCTCCTGATCAGATAGAATGCCCCAGAAATGTCGAACTAGGCAAGCTTTATTTCATGAGTGTAGATCTTTGAACCCCATACCACCCTCAGCGCGAGGGAGGGCTACTGTTTTCCAGGCAACCTTGGCTCTCTTCTTCTTTTCCAGCTCACTCCAAAGAAATTGTGAGCACATACTCTCTATTCCTTAATAATCTTCTTTGGCAGTAGAATTACTTGCATCCAGTATTGGGTCATGCTGGATAGCACAAAAATCACAAGCTCAATCTTTCCTGCATAAGGAAGCAGCTTTGGCTGCCATCCTAGGATCCTTCTTGCTATCCTACTAATCAAGGACTTGCAGTCTTCAGCAGTCAGTTTCTCTGCATTCAGCGGCAACCCAGGGTATCTGACTGGTAATGTACCTTCCCTAAACCCTGAGTGTCTCACCAATTCTCCCTTTAAAGTCTCTGTCACCCCAACACTAAAGATTTCACTTTTGCTAGGATTACACAGCAAACCAGACACTAAGTAGAATTTCTGAAGAATTTCAGCAATCACATTCACTCTTTCCACCGAAACCTTAGTGAATACCAGTAAATCGTCTACAATACATAAGTGAGTAAGGCTAATTCGACTACACTGAGGGTGATAAGGTAGCACTGATCTAGCCGCTGCCCTGTTTAATATACAACTGAGAACCTCTATGCTAGCTGCAAATAGGTAGGGAGAAAGGGGACACCCCTGTCTCAACCCTTTATGATCTGGGAAGTGGCCAGTAAGTCCCCCATTTATATAGAAAGTGAAGCACACAATATAGGTAGTCCCCCATTTATACATACAACCCTTAATCCAATTTACAAACATACCTGGAATGCCCATTGCAAGAAGCACACAATATAGGTAGTCCCAATCCACACTGTCAAAAGCCTTCATTATGTCTATCTTGAGAGCACACCTAGAAGACACATTTTTCCTTCTGTACCACTTCACCAATTTATTTGCCAAGATTATATTGTCATTTATTAACCTGCCTTTGATAAATGCAGATTGGTTAGGGCTAATAACCTTTGGTAACACTTACTTCAACCTGTTAGTTAGGATTTTTAAAATGGACTTATATACAAAGTTACAACATGAAATGGGGCGGAAGTTCTTCATAGTATTAGCATTTGGTACCTTTGGGATAAGAGCCAGGATTGTGCAGTTGACTTCCTTCCTCATTCTGCCAGTAACAAAAAACTCCTGTATGGCCTTAGTAACTTCCATACCCACTAATCCCCAGTGTTCTTTGAAGAACTCCGTTGTAAAACCATCCAGCCCTGGTGCTTTGTCCCTCTTCATACTTTTCACTACCCGGTGTATCTCATCGGCTGTAGCCATATCACACAAACCTGCATCATCCCCCTCTGCCAAGTGAATAAATAGCAACTGTCTAAGCGTTCCAACTGTGACTCGCTTCAGATTTCCATTCCTTCTACCCAAAAGAGAACGATAGAACTGAACAGCTTCCTGGCCTATTTCCTCAACATCTTACAATACAATTCCAGATTCAGTAACTAATTGCCTAATAGTGTTCATTGCTTGTCTAGTTTTAACCATACTATGAAAGAATTTGGAGTTTGAGTCTCCACTGTTCACCCAATATTGCCTTGATTTTTGCTTATTATAAGATGCCTCTGCTGGTTGAAGCTCTAGAAGCTGGACCATACACCTCTTCTCAGCTTGAAAAGCTAAGGAGGCAGGGCGCTCCAACACTTCTGATTGAGCTCTAGCTAGTTCCTTCCATGCCAGCTTGACCCTCTCATGTATGTCTGAGTAGCACTCTCTGTTTAAACTCCTCAATGGAACTTTTATATTGCGTAGTTTTTTATACAATTGTGCCATGGCAGAACCTGTGGTGGGACAAAGCCACCCTTCTGTAACCAGTTTTTCATATTCTGCATGGAGTTTCCAGAAATTGAACTACTTGAAAGGACGTGGTAAAGTTTTAATTCCTGAATCCAGACTAACCAGGACACCACAGTGGTCTGAGAGACCAGGTAACAGAATCTTGACAGTGCTTCTAGGGTAGCACTCCAACCAGCTATCCGAGACAAGAGATGGATCTAACCTCTTCGCAATAGGGTTACCTTCTTCCTTATTAGACCATGTGTACCACGACCCTAGGACTCTATGATCAGTCAGCCTCATGTCAGTTATCCAGGAAGAGAAATGATGGGCACTCTCACCTAGATTTCCTGAATTAGAAGATTCTGAACCATTCAAATACAATATTGTGTTGAAATCACCTACTGCCAACCAAGGGATCGATGGATCCACCTTCGTCTTTAGCTCCTGATAAGTTTGCTGCCTTTCCTGGACCTCGTTTGACCCATACATGAACGTAAGCTGAGTTGGCTCCGTTACTTGCAAGACTCCATGCACATAGAAGTCATTGTTATCCAGAACTGTGATTTGTAAGCCCTTCTTCCATAAAACCCAGATCCTCCCTACCCCATCCTGGGAATAAGTGTCTACATGTTCCCAATCTACAAAATGCTATGCAATTATTTTCTGAACCTTTTCTTTACTAACCCTAGTTTCCAAGATTGCAACTATCTCCACCTTATACTTTCTAACTGAATCCACAATACTCTCCTATTTATCAGGGCTGTTGAAACCCCTCATATTCCATACTAAAACATTCATGTTTTGATTGGTAGTTTTTTGCCCCTTCGGGGGCCGACCAGGTTTCCCTTTCTTCTTCTGCTACCCTTCTTTCCCTATCTCCGGGAAATGTGCAGGGTCTTTTAAGGGAGATACTGCCATTGTCCTTACTTCAAATTGAACCAGGGGAGCAAGAACCTCAAAAGAGTTACTAATACCAACTGCCTGTTGAAACTCCATGTCAGAAGGTAGATAGCCTTGCCAAGCAGATCCCCTAGACAAGACTAGATTCTCCACTGCTGTTTCCAAGCCACCCCCACCCTGAACTTCCATATCAGTTTCAGAAGGAGACTCATCCCTAGCCACCTCTGCAACGCCTGCCTGACCATTTGCCTCATCAGGATACAACTCCTTACTACCTTCAACAACCACTTCTTGAGTCGTGCTTAACCCTGCCGTAATCTCACTCACACTTACTGATGCTCTAAAACACAACACCTAACAATGGCCAAGTGTAACCAATGAAAGAGACTGCAGTATAGTGGCACAAGTAATAAATATCGAATCCACGGGTCTCTAGAGTTACTATTACTCAGCTTCAGTTCATTATCTAGCAAACTAGATTAAGGATTGATTAACCAAACTACTCTACTAACTAAACTAAGTAAAACTACTAATTACAGTTTGGGAACTCACTTAGGTATGATTCCCCCTAGCTCCTCAATTAGGTCCAAGTTGTAATTCCTTTTGGTTGTTTTACTGTTGATTAAACTGCGGAAGATCCGACAGTAGCTTGGAATCTCTTAAGCTGACCAAACCCTCTCAGTCGAACTATCCGGCAGACGACTAGTCTTCACCGGGATAGAAAGCTGAAGCAATAAGCACAGAACTCCACTACTGGAATTGGATTCCAGTACAAAGCAGTAAACTGGCTAACTCTCGTATAGCCAATCTCCTACTACCGAATGATGAGACTCTAGCAACCTAATCAGATTCTATCTATCTCAGATTGCAGCAGGAATCAGGAAAAGCTGATCAGACTTCAATTGACTCAATAAACATGCATCATTCGATTATAATCAAACAATAAAGCATCCAAAACTTCATACAAGAAAGATCCTAACTCATGGAACTAGGGTTCCTCAAAACCTAAGTGAAAGGAAGTTACTCCATAGAGAAGAGAGAGACTGCAGAAATCTGATCTAGATCTTCAATCTCCATCTCCAAGCTTGATTCCCGAGCTTCAATGGCGAAGAAATCCTCCAAAATAGCTCCAAGAACGTTCCCAAGTCGCTCTCTCTCTCTAGGGTTCGTCCTTTGGGTGTTTGGGATCCAAAACCCAGCTCTCCCTCTTTCCTTTTGCTGAAAATCGGGTTTTAAACAGCAATTCCCGACTCACACGGCCAGGCCACACGGCCGTGTGGCTTTCCAAGCTGCCCGTGTGAGCCCTCGGTGATTTCCACACGGCCATATGGCCAGTTCACACGGCCGTGTGGGTCGTGCCCGTGTGGCTTGCTCAGCCTCTATTTAATGCTTCGTTTCTCCCTCGTCCGGACTCCGAATCAGTCCCCGTTTGATCCCAGACGCTCGTAGTCTCATCCTATTTCTTTTCATAACAAGCTTGCATGATTATTTGTCCATAAAGTAAGGTAGAAATCCATTCTTCTTCAGGTCATGCCCGAGTTTCTTCTCCCAAATTTTCAATTGATCTCTGATTGATTTGAAACTTGCGCCTATGCTTCACTTTATGTGCTAGGACCTGAAATGTGACAAAGGAACATAACCTAGCATAAAATAGGCCAAAGACACGATAATTCAAGCTCAAACAATCAAGAAACAAAGGGGAAAACATGTGCAATTACCGAGTCATCACTTACCACAAAATTCTCAGCCTGAACCATCCCTGGAATTTCTCCATCTTCCCTCTAAGTATCCAAAGACTCCTGAACTTCCTTCTCACAGTTATGACCAAATCTGCTGCACTTCTCACACATCTCTGGCTTGTTACAATATTCAATACTGATAGTGTAAGCAGGCCTACGATCTGGGACAAGTTGTAGGAAATCCGGGAACTCTGAATCAACACCCATCTCAACACAGACCCTAGGGTAACCAAGTCTTCTGCCAAGCCTACTAGACTTATCAAACCATAGAGGCCGCCCTAGCTTACTTGCCAGCCGCGTCAAGATTCGCCGAGTTACATGCTCAAGAGGCAAGTACAGAAAACGCACCCAGATAGGAATCATTGTACGAGGCTCCTCAGCTCGAATTCTTGGCTCCCACTTCCTCAAGTAGCACATATCGCTCCTCAAATGCCAAGGACTGCACGAGAACACCCAGTGCGCCGTTTCCGCAGTCGGGAATTGGAAAAGAAGCAGACGATCACCCAGCCAAGAAACCCTAACTGAACCCTTTTTACCCCACAAACGATTCGCCCATGATTGGACTTGACGGATATGGGGGGAAGTAGAGAGGAATTTCCCCACCAAGCAGTGTTGCCAGCGCGCGATTCCTTCGTCTTCAAGCTCAGGTGGAATTCGAAGGCCTCCATCTACTATCTCTGGCTCGATATACACCAATCGATTTTCTTCCGCGACTCCGAAAAGATCCGCCGAAGATTTCCCCGATGTGTGCACACTCGATTCCATCTCTCCCATTTCCGAAGATCAGCTGTGAGCGAAGAGCCAACGCCGAGAAAGCACCGGCGCCGGCGGCCGCCGCAGGATTGGTATTCAATATTGAAAATTCTGGTGCTTATTGTTTTGGTAGTGATGCTATGTTTTATTGGTAGTGTGTACATTGGTATATATCTGTTTTGATGGATTGGTATTCAATATTGAAAATCAGTTGAATGCGGAGTGTCTGCATAATGGTTTTAGGATGTGCATGGTTTGATATTGGTTGAGTATCAGTACCATTAAAATATATTGTTTTTCTTGTCCATATGTTTTAATAGTCTTATTGTTTGTAGTTATGTGTTGGTAGACATATTGTTGATGTCGTGCGGTCTTGATCAAACGTCATAGGAGTATGATTTATACATATCTTTATCGGTATATATGTTTGGTTTGATAGGTATTGGTGTGGTCTTACGTTGTTCAGCCGAACTAATACCATTGCAACAACAAACAATAAATCAATACCAATCCATTAGAAAAACACTACCATTGCATAAAAACACCAATACCATTCGAGAAATAAAAACACTACCATTTCACAAAACACCAATGTCATTGCAAATGTAATCAATACCAATACATGCAAATCAATACCGTTATATTATAATCAATACCAATACAAAAAAAAACAATACCAATGCGAAAAACACTACCACTACGAAAAAAATCACTATCATTTCAAAAAATACTAACCAATCCTTTATTAATTATCTTTATTAATAAATTACATTTTAGGAAATTACAAAATATATTAATTACAATTTTCTCTCTTTCTCTCAATTCCACAATCCCCCAGCTAGATCTCTCTTTATTCTTTCTCAATTTTTTTCGTTTCTCCTTTCAAGCGAAATAATAACACTGCAGAAATAAAACAAGAAATCAATACCAATCCGTTAGACAACCACTACCATTTCGGAAAACACCAATACCATTGCAGAATAAATCAATAGCATTATGAAAAACAATACCATTGCGAATAAATCAATACCATTATGAAAAACAATGTCATTGCACTAAAACTACTAATATAAAAGATTTATACCATTAGAAGAGTGAAACCAATACCAAAATCAGCCAATACCACCACGACTGTGAACTCAAAACAATACCATTGCAGAAATAAATCAATATCATTATAAAAAAAACAAACCTATACAATTTCATTAAAAAAACAATGAACCAGTACCAAAATAAAAAAACTCAAATATGAAATTCGCTCGAAAGTTGTTAGCTCGTCATTGTCGGGTAATAAAAAGAGGGGGGGGGGGGGGGGGGGGGGGGGGGGGGGGGTTGGCTGGGTGTGGTGGGGACGGGGAGAGGTGGCGGAGGGTGGGGTGGGGAAGGAGAGGGAGGGGTGGCGATGGCAGTGGGTGGGGTGGCCGGGTGGGGAGGGGGAGAGGTTGTGGGTGGGGAGGGGAAGGGAGGAGGGAGGGGTGGAGTGGAGTGGCCGGCGTTGGGAGTGGAAGGATATGGGAGGATAGGCCGAGGGAGGGCCGGCAGGAGAGGTGAGGGGAGGAGAGAGATGGTTTTAGGGTTTGGGGGAGAGGAAGGATACAATAAATTATAAATATAGGTAATGATTTTGTGTGCTAATATTTTTATTCCAAAATTATTCTTTATCTAATCTTGATCGTTATTTTAAAAGAAGAGGAAAATAGAGTTAATTAAGGGTGTAGATGTAGGTTGTCACGATGGTTACTAAAAAACTAGTATTCACCCTAACGCATTCCCTATTGGCTGCCCTGTGTTATTGTCACCATAACAACAAATATGGTGTTGTTACCATATCCAGGCCCGACTATCTCGACCTCAAAAGTTAGTGCGATCGAAACATAAGGTTTAAGTCGTTAATTGTGCACATAGTACCCAGTGGCGGATCCAGTACTGGGTAGAGCACTGTGCCACATTATGAAAAGATGTAGAGTGGGTTGGGCCGTAGGTCGACGAATACTTAAACGAATACCAAAAATAAAAAATTTACAAGTGTTATACTAGTTTTGATCCAGAGGAGGGCTGGGCCGCGACTGGTGGGGCCGCTGATAGTACCATAGGTATTTAGCAACTCGATTGCACCGTAAGGATATACTTGACGTAAGGTATATAATTATAAGGGCTTACATTTGGACACGAAATTGCCTTATACGAATATTGTAGAGCATAACTTGCTCTCCTTCCTGAAAACTTCCGTTTCCTATCGCAAATATCATTAGCAGTTTCCTCAGTCACATAAGCACTCTCGTATGCATGAAAACTGAAAATCCTCGAGTTCAAGCTGGTGGTTTTTGCGTTCTTCTCCTACTAATCCCATATCAAGATGAGTGCCTTTAAATTGCCTAGTAAACTTTATGATATACTAGCAAACGACATGTGGTGTCCTGAGAAACCGATGGTAAGAGATCAAAGTGAGAAGCTAATTTTTTAGACAATATATTTGTTATTTATTTAAGTGGGCTAATTGTAAGTGATCAAAGTGAGAAGCTCAAGAGTACTCATAACCAATATGTGTTTAAATGGATGAAAACTCAATACTTGCTCACCTTGAATGTTATGGGAGCCCATGGTGACTAGTATATAAAAGAGTTTGAGGTTTTGGTTCCCAATACACCAAGTAGAGATGGCAATCAAACCCATGGTCGTGGGTATCCGACCGCTCCCGACCCAGTCAACGCAGGGAATCCCCGCTTTGACAGGGTATGGGGCGGGTATGGGTCAAAACCCGCAAAAAGTTTGATGGGTATGGGGCGGGTATGGTTTTAGCCTCCCCCGCCCCATACCCGCCCCACCAAGATAATTTCTTCATATATAAAAAATATGTGCGTCAAATTATAAACTATCTATGATGATGCAGATAACTTGAGAAAATAAATAGTAGAAATGCAATTGAGTGGACACCTTAATCAAAACCTAATTCATTTCTCTCAATTTTCATTTCACTCTTTCACTTTTCCCCTTGTCAACAAGATTATGTTAGTTAATTATTATTTAGTAGATGTATCAGAGTTAGAACATAATAATTTGAAAAATAGTATACTCTATATTATGTATTAATGAATATTTTAGGATCATATTCTTTGAACCATATTAAAGAAATGGCCGTGTTTTGTTGACTTCATGATATAATATGTTTGTTTAGAGTTATAATTAAAACTTTTCTTGTAAGTTTTAGATATAATAATGTTGGATGTACGGGTATGGGTATTACCCATGGGTACCCCAAACCCACGGGTATGGAGATGGGTTTGCAAAACATTCCCCCGCATGGGTATGGGGCGGGTATGGGTTTGGGTATTTGAAGATGGGTATGGGGATGGTTTAGGAAAATCCGCCCCAAACCCGCCCATTGCCATCCCTAACACCAAGACCAATATATAGCTCTATCTTCTCTCCATCAGGAATATGAGAGACTATCCCGTAGAGGAACTCAGGATGTTTGGTTGATGAAGGACATAGAACCTCCCAGATCGTGCTTCACAGGTATCGTTCGGTTCCAGACCATCCTTCAAATTCCACATCAAGTTCTTGATGATCAATCAACAAGAATTCAAGTAATTATGTTCACCTTTAATAATCTGACAAGAGGAGTTCCAGAAAATTGCATGCATGTCATGTTTAACTCTAACAAAGGGGATATTCTTCCCTAACTAGTACGTCATGATTATGTAACAAAGTCGAAGATTAAAAAATTCATGGTAAGAAGGCTAATGAGATACCTATTGTTTATCTGTACTCTCTGTGGCAACATCTAGCTTCTATACCGCCAATTATTGCCGAGATGTCAAATGTCATATTCGTTTCTTTTCTTTAACGTATTCTTTTACTATTTAACTACAAAAGGCCGGTGGACCTTAAATACTATAATAATAATAATAATGACAATATATATGTAAGAAAGCATATGAGAGGAACATACATAAGTATAAAGTTTGTTAGGTTGGAAGGAGGAGAGCATAGAAATGACCCTAAAGGAAATATTGGCCGCGTGGGAAACAAAAGGAGGCAACTGGTCCCCAAATAGTGGATTTCCATTCTCTAAAAACTATCATATTGATTAGCATTGTCTTCGTATTTAATTTAATGATGTCTTAAGCTGCCATTGCTCAAGGCAATGTTGACATCAATTTCCTCTTTCTCCAATAATTCTCCCAATCATATTTTATGGGGTTAAATTAAACACTGTCCCAACTAACACCCTTTTTTAGCAAAAATAAAAATGCAGATAAAAGGAGGGTCTTTTGGAATTTGCTTTTAGGGTTCAGTAACCAATCATATGTTGCTGTTCAGGTATTTCTGTTCATCTTTAATACCCTTTTACTTACTTGTTCCGAATACGAGAGACTATCCTACGGTTTTACGATTTTATGTCATATCATTTCAGAAGTACAAAATATTTTCATTAAGGAACGACAAATAGTGGAGAATGTCTTGTTAGGGCACGAACTGATGAATTATTTGAAAATCAATACCCGGGGCAAGATATTTGTGCAGATCTAATTATTTCTATGAAAAATTCTTTAAATTCCGAGTTAAAACAAAATATATATGACCCGGGTAAGAAAAATGAGAAATTAAAAAAAAAACGATTTTTGACTTTAAAAAAGCTTTATACTCTCCTCTATGATCCGTGACTGGAAGGTAAAATCCGCCGATTCCTCATAACATCCTTATTTATCAGTATATCTTTTTGGCCGTTAAATGAGATGGATCTGAGCAGTCAAATGATGAGATTTTGTATCCTATGATTATAAGTCTTACCATTTTGTTCTTTTTAGCATTCTCTAGCTACGTGAAATAAGTAAGTGTGCTAATTAATGTATTTCAAAGAAAATTTTATTTTCAGAAAATGATTTTATTCCCGGTTTTAAGTACAATACTAAGGGTCAACATAGTGCATCCAGCACGGAATCCAATTGGAGACGGGCTATAAACAAGACGCCCTGGTGGATGGATGTAAGGATCTTAAACAATCGGTACGCTTGGTTTATACTAATATATATTTATTTTTTTGGTGTGGTTTATGCTAATTTAATCAAATATGTAAAAATACGAAAAAATATTAATATAAAATGAATTTAAGTATATATAATATATATTTGAATATAATCTATTTAAAATCATCATTAATATGTAAACCAGAATACAATATTCTAAACAAAATCAAATACTTATATTTAATTACAATATTTAAGCTCCACGCCCAAACATATATACTCGAATCCAGTCATCCAGATAATGACATCAACATTTAATTTCTAAATTCATGTAATAAATCATGAATTATTATTTTTAATTAAATACACTTATTAACGCCATTTTGTAGGTGACCAGAAATCAATGATAACGATCATACTGATACTGATGGTATTACAACCAATTTCATGACCGGCGTCAATTATACCATGTTTAATCGGCTGCCATTCCATCTGCGTTACAACCATGATATACGTACATGTTAAAATGCAGAGGCATAGAACTAGGGTTCGGAAACGGTCCAATCCGAGCAAATCGAACATGATTGACCTGATTAATTGGATTGGATTTTTGCCCAATACTAATCAAATGCTGGACGAATCTGGTCATTCAGTTATCTACACAATATATTATGCACTTCACTCCATGTCATTGTTGCCACCTTGCACTTTGATTGGTTCTCCTTATTTGGTGGAAGGCAACTTTGACAATTTTTCAAACACTCAAGGGTCACTCATTATTATTGGACTTTTGGTTTTCTTTTTAGTAAATCTGATTAGGATTGAGGAAAAAGAAGATTTGTTTTAAGGTAAATGCTACATAATAACTATTTGAATTTTGGTCTGTGTAGATTTATTTTGTGTGGTTAAGGAAAAAACAGAGGCTATCTAAAGTTGTTTAACTCCTAAATGAGATAATGCTTGCGAATTGGATTTTGAGATGATAAAGATGATATATCGTTGTGGCGTGGATGTTTGGGAAGAGGTTCCTTCGGAATAGGTTTTCGCATTAGGGTTTTACGTAAAACAGTAAACCAAGCATCAACCTTCAAAATTTTTATAATCTTAATTTCACAGTGATTTCGGCAAACATGAAGAGGAAGAAAGACGGGAAATCTTGACAACATACAATCAATTTATATTGTTTTAAATTATTTTAATTTTCAAATTAGCATGTCTAATTTGTACATTAAATTTTGAAAGGTAAGATCGCATGTTGAGTCGTAAGTTAAACAATAATTCGAATTAGATCAAACATAAATATTTGTGTCGAATTAGATCAAACAAAAAAAATCAATTTTTTTACTCTATGTAATTGCTTAAAGTCGAGATAGTTTTTATTAGAAAATTATTAAACGTAAAATATTGTCCAATGGAATAACTTAAATGCTTCTTCAACCTAACTACGTTGTTATTTACATCTGAATAGTTCCATTAATAATTAAAAAATAGTTGTATAGTGATAAACCATTAATCATGAGTCATTGAAGTTTTCATCCGACAACCGCTCCGCATTTGAAAATATAGGACATAGTCAATAAAATATTTAAAATATGAGCATATTGTTAAAGGTTAAGTTTGAATTATGATAACTAAATTTAAAATGATTGAATAACTTAAAAGGGTCATTTCAAGTCAAAATATTCTTTTGCTAACATTTTTCATTTTTGTCTCTTTCAAAAATATAAATTTAATACATCTCTACTAATATTTTTGGATTTGTTTTACATAATTGTCCAAATACTCTATTTCCATATCACATTTTTTCTCCTCAAATTTTTGTATCTTTAAACTATTTAAATGTAATACATCTATAGTAATATTATGTACATTATTTACTTTTTAATTCAATAGATGACAATCAACTATATTTAAATTAAAATAGTAATAAAATTTTCAAAGCTTCATTTGGAAGGTAATTATTCACATATAACGAAGATAAAAAAATTTGTTGATTTTTTATTATTCAGTGATGTTTAATATCTCAACGCATGAATATAGATTCCAGATAGTTTTTCATTTCATTCGTTGTCTAACTTAAACTTATTATATTTAAGTATAAAATGAAATACAAATTCAATAAAATTATAAAGTTAACGGGCACTAAAAACATAAACTATCAAAGTACTCTTTTGTACCATCAGTGCATAATACTAAAAATCGAACCACCTACGTTTAACTTAAAAAAATAACCAAATGACCACAAACCGGCCAACGGCCCGAATACAACACTAGTAATAACCAGGGTTCAAGAAGGCGCGCCTAGGCTCAATTAGGCGCTAGGCGGTGGAGGATCGCCTTGACTTGGCCATAGGCGTTGTAAAAGGCGTTGGTAGCGCTTAGTAGGTAGGAATAGCGCTTAGTTTGCGCTTAGTGGAGAGAAGGCGTGCCTGGGCGTTCCTGGGCGAGCTTAGGCGGTTAAACCCAATACTCTTCGTTTTGTCCTAGAAAATCAGAAATTTGCCTCTTACCCTAGAAAATCAGAAACACGGGAAGTAACATCTGCTGCCACTAGGGCTGCAAACGAGCCGAGTCGAGTCGAGTTTTTGCTTAGCTTGAACTTGGCTCGTTTATTAATTTTTTAGCTCGAGCTCGGCTCGAACTCGAATTTTGATAATCTAGCTCGAGCTCGAGCTCGGCTTGAATAAAAATAATCTAGCTCGAGCTCGACTCGGTAGAGCTCGATAAATGCTCATTAACATAGCTTGTCAAGCTGAGTACCAGCTCGGCTGGAGATGAGCTTGATTTAAAATCATTCTTGCTGGAAAAATGTGTAAACATAAGAATTTAAATGATAGAAAGAACACTAAAAACTATAAATAACATCTAAATCTCATACACATTTGTATTAACAAGACAATGTTCATGTTTGAAAGAGTAATTCCTCCTTCCAAAGCTCTAAACAAAGCAGCTCGCGAGTTTAGCTCAACAAGCCACCGAATCAAGCTAGCTCGCGAGCTTATCAAGCTAAGCATGGTCTAGCTCAAGCTTGGCTCGTTAACTAACGACTTGGCTCGCGAGCCTGCTTGTTAAATAACGAGTCAAGTGTGGAACGAATTTTTCCCGATTCGAATGCCGAGTTGCTCGCGAGCGGCTTGGCTCATTTGCAGCCCTAGCTGCCGCCTGCCGCCCTAGCTCTCGCCCCATCTGCTACCACCTGCCGCCCTAACTCTCGGCCCATTTGCTGCTCTCTGCCGCCGCAGGAGAAAGTTATCGATCACTCTTCTCGCCTTCACACCTCTCCGCTGCTATAGTGGGAAATAAAGTCGAAACTCGCCAATTGTTGCTCCTTCCTTCTCCTCGGTACGTAGCACAAGCTTCTTGCCTCTATAAGCACCTATTAGCAGATGATTGGTCACTATTTGCTTGTTATTTGTTATGTTAAGTGTTTACTGTTAAGAACTAGGCATTGCTAATTTTATATGCACTTGGATTATATGAATTATTCCAGAAAACAGGAAATATTTGAGAAATTTTCCATTTATGCTCTGAACGCCTAGGCGCGCCTAGGCTACGCCTAATCGAGCAAGGCGCAAGTCAGGAGCCAAGCGCCTGCCTTACGCCTAGCGCCTTTTAGAACCTTGGTAATAACATATACGTTTTGACCCATTTCCCCCACCAAAATATTGTAGTTTATCAGAAATCAAAATTAAATTATAAAAACTTATGAAAAATTGAGAACGGTTCAATTCCCTCACGCCAAGGTCAATCACACAATTTCTATCATCTGTAATGGAAGCGTGTAATTAATCAATAATTCAGATAAACACAAATGAATACAAATTTAACGTGGTTTACTAACACAATGTGTGCTAGCTAATCCACCATCAGGAGAGAACAAATTTCACTAATTTTGAGGAGAGTACAAAACCAAACAACCAACCCGACTGACCTAACTACTCTTCTCCTAATTGCCAAATAACCAGAGAGTATAACTGCACTCGTACATGTGGTAACAACCAGCACTCGTCTCGTATAGAGGTAAACTCTCTAGTTGCAACAATTACCTTTCAAACGAAACACACATATCATCTCTTTACGTGAGGATAGTCCTCACAAACCAAAGGAATAATGTTCAGGAATGTGAGAATACTAACACTTATCTTCTCTCATTTTTATTGTTTTGAACTTTCCTCTGTCTTGGTTGATTATCTTATGTTCCTCTTTATTTTGTGAATTTTGGTTATGAACTTTATTTTTCATTTATTAGCATTTTCCAGCAGTTCATTTCTACTTTCTCTCTACTCGTACTACGTCTTTCTCTTCCCTATAACTAAATCTTTCTGCTTATTTTGTATGGATTATGACCCAAATCAGACCTAAAATTTTCGAGAACTTACGCTTAATATATTTGTATCAGCAAAAAGAGTCTTTCCTCTCTTCCCCTGAAAATGATACATCGATCGGTGCTCAATGTACACAGCAGCAAGCATATAAACCGTGGAATAAAAGCTAGTGGGAAGAAAGTGAAGGAATTAATTAAACTAAAGTAATCTAATATCAAATAGCGCCCCAAACCAAAAAGACAAAGCTAGCAAAGTGATGGAATTTTATAGAAATTTCTTCTGAGTGGGTTTTAATATAGTTTATGTTTTGAGAAGCCAAAAGCTGAAGAGATTCTCAAGAGCCCATCATCTTTTTTGTGGAAATCCCTTCATCAATATCAACATCCATCTAGGGATTTTCAAGCTCTCAAAAAAGAGAAAACAACAAAGAGAAAAGACCCACTTATTGATCCATTATGGAGCCTCCAAATCTCCATCAACACCAAGAACAGTTCACTGGTTACTTCTCTTCTTTGCTCTCCCTCCCTCCCCCAGATCATAACAAACCAGCAGCACCTACTTTAACCTCCACCAATACTACCAGTAGCCACTTCCTCAGCTCACAGAACCTCATGTTGTAAGTTCATTTCTTTCTGTTGGAGCTTCCATTGTCATATTTTCAAAATCTTGTGGTTTGCTAGGGTTTTGATTTAATCATGTATCTCATGCATATATGGGCAGGAGTGGTAATAACATGAGTTACCACAACTATCATAATAACCATCATCACCAGCTAGCTGAATCATCATCAACTGATGGCTACTCATGGCCACCACCACCACCACCTCACAGATCTTCCATGAATGTCGAACTAGAAAGCTTCGTGGCCAACGATTTTTTGTTCTCCAAGATCAAAGATGAAATGCCTGCAGCCGAAACCTTCCACAATAATAGCAACTATTTGACTACTACTACTTCTCTCTTCTCATCAGCAGATCACCATCATCAGTTCTACCCTACTAGCCATCAGCATCACGATGCAAACAACATAGAAGATTCAAGCTGTTGTAGCAGATCTTCGTACAGCCATGTCATGCCGAGTATAAACGTGCTGACCTCGGATAATCTGTGCTCTTCTCTGGTGTCAAGCTCTCTAGACTTGAACTTAAGATCCGCCGCGGATCATCATCATCATCATCATCGTCATCATCTGAACCTTACTTCATCGTCATATGATGGTATTGCTGCTGGTAGCTCCGGACTTAATACTACTGTCTCAAGAAACAGCAGCATCAGTCACCATTTCATTGGAGATAGTCCAACACACAGTTCTTCAAATAATAATAATAATAGTAAAGTAAGTTGCTTTTTCTTCTCTTCTCTTAATTTCTTGGTCTTGTTTACATATATTGATTGCCATTATCGCGCCAGTTTGATAGTTATATGTCATAAACCACCAAATGTACACTAAGCCTTTCACTTATAAATTTAGGTTAATTAGCATACATATCTCTGGCTTACGTTAATCTTGTTAATCTTATATCATACGTCCATCGAGTCTTGCTATCTAGACCATGAAATTTGGAGTTTGCGCATGATACTTAACTCTAACTTCTAATGGGTGAACCCCGTTCTTAATTCCCTAACCCAAATTACAAATTGGTTTAATCTAAAAAGTAAAAATCGACAATTCTAATTTGTCAAGAAATATCAAAATATTAAGTGTGAAGTTACGCGCTTGATTATCCGTTTTTGTCTCCGAATTTTCAGAAGACATCAGGTGGTAGTGAAGACATATCACTTGGGAGGAAGAGTACTACTAAGAGGTCCATTAGTACCTTTTCTGGGTCGAACTCATCACCATCGAAGAAAGATAATCCCACAGATGACAATAAGAAGCAACGGTCAACCTCAAGACACTCTTGCCCTCCATTGAAGGTGAGCAATCGTTGTGGTCTTTTTGAATTCATTGTTGCTTGAGAATATGGGTTTAATTATCTTGGACAATTGTTTCTCTGCAGGTGAGGAAGGAGAAACTCGGAGACAGAATTGCTGCCCTTCAGAGGTTGGTGGCACCTTACGGCAAGGTACTCAACAGTAAACAAACACTACTGTAGATATAACAATATAGTATAGTATTAGTAATCGCGCGTGAGGAAATGTGACAGTAGTCACGTATAATAAGTTAACAAATACAATATGATTTTGACCATGCTTTCGAATTTCATATGACCCTTTAATTTTTTTTTTTTTTTTTTTTTTTTTGGTTTCTTTCCTCTACGACCGTTTGGAAATTGTGCAGACAGACACTGCCTCAGTATTGACCGAAGCTATTGGGTACATACAATTCCTCCATGACCAAGTTCAGGTGCTGATCATCACAATATATCGTTCATTCATCTTTATCATTAATTAATAACATTTGATTGATGAAAGATCTGAGTGTGCGTTTTTAATTAGGGTTTAATTGTGCAATCTTAATTTGTTTTGCTTTACATAAAACAGACACTGAGTGTGCCTTACATGAGGTCCTCACCAAACAACAAGCCGAATAGGTCAATGATCATGGTTAGGGTAATTATCTGAGCTGCGCTTCATTTTTTACTGTTAGCTAATTACTTTCTTGTTGTTCTTTTGTAAAAGTGAAATTTTCCTTTATATTGTCGGGAGATCGTGTTGTTGAGTTTGAGGCGATTTTGCAGAATTCAAGTGAGGAAGATCGTCTTCAACATGGGAAGGGGGAATCAGCAGATCTCACAAGTAGAGGTCTCTGCCTTGTGTCCCAGTCTTTTGCTTCGTATTTAAACGGCTACAATAATGTTGGCATCTGAACGATGAACAAGCCATGCAACCACGTATACATGCATTAGATTAATTTCTCGTCAAGAACCAGTCAAGTTTTTACTATTTACTTTCCCACCCAAAGGTTATAAACATTTGGATTTATATTACGAATTGGAATATGTCAACATTTCAGTGAATTCTTCTTGTGCAAATTTATACTATATGCAGAGGGGTGCATATCGCAACGTTTGGCCAATCCTTATTTTAAGTTCTTCTACATTTCACTCGAATTTTTTTTCCCAGTTATTACTTGTCACTAACTTTAAATCAACGTTTTATTGTTGGTCACTGACCGTTTAGTTCCATTAATTCCGTCTTATATGACAGTCAACCGGCGTTGTTTGACGATTAAGTGGTTCATGTGTCAATTAAAAATTAATAAAATTAAATTAGACCTATTTATTTTAAAATTATCACCTCGTTTTTTTTCCGAAACAAAAGAAAAATTAATAGAAACGAAAAAGAACTCACCGTTCTTCAGTGATTTTATTGTTTAGACCCTCTAATTCTGTTTGTAGCCGAAACAATTAAGATAACGAACCTGCATATGTTTTCTCTGTTAGAATTCCTAATATGCAATGTCTACAAAGCTCCAGAAATTAACAATACATATCTGCCAACTAGTTTGGAAAACAATTCCGCCATGCACTTAACCTACCACCATCAAAATATCATGATATTGCAATCTAATGGTGGTGGAAGGAGGCGTGAGTTGGAGCACAAATATTGAACCTCATTTGTGGCATGGACAAGTAGCAGAGCAAGCAAAGCAAAATAGCAGAGCAAAGAATTTAAGAGTTTTTTTGTAAAGGCAATAATTGTTGAACTTGTCACTAGCTTGTGAGTGTCAAATAGTTGAGTGATAGTAAAAATTCCTCCTGAACTCGATTTTACATTCCACAGTATTTCCTTTCATATCTAAAAAATTTGGTATAAGAACTGATACGATGAAATTTTTCATTTAACATGGCAGCAGCCTAGGTGAATACAATATTCGTAAATAGCCAGATTCAAATCTTAATCTTCAAGGTCGAATTTACGAATATTGGATAGCTCAAATAAAGACAATCTTCATTTTTCAAGACTTATGGGATATCGTCCAAAAAGATTAAGAGAGAATTTATTGAGTATAATATCAAGGAATTCCATGAGACCGACTCTCTTCCTAAATGTGCAACTCATTCTTTCATTTGCCTTGTGCCTAAGAAAGATGCCACGGAAGAAATAAAGGACCTCCGTCCTATTGGACTTATGGGAAGTGTTAACAAACTCATCTGCAAGCTTATATCGAAGAGACTGGGGAAAGTCCTTCCGTTTTTAGTCTCGGAGTACCAGCAAGCCTCGGTTCAGGGAAAGCAGATTGCGGAAGCTGGGCTTCTCGCGAATGAGCTGGTGGAGAGTAGAAGGAAGAGCAGGAAACCAGGACTAATGCTTAAGTTAGACATTGAAAAGGCTTTTGACAACGTGAATTGGAGCTATTTGTTTAAGGTTCTCACGAAGCTGGGTTTTGGAGATAAATGGAAGAGTTGGATTCGAAGTGCTGTATGTTCTCCTACTCTATCTGTTTTGGTTAATGGTGAATCCAAAGACTTTTTCCCGGCTCAGAAAGGGCTTAGGCAAGGAGATCCGCTTTCCCCGGGTCTCTTTGTTCTTGTTATGGACATTTTGTCCTTCATGATATCCAGACTGAAGGCAGAAAGAAAGATAGATGGTTTTTTTTATGGATGAGGATGGGCAGAGAGGGGAAGTTACTCATCTCCTTTTTGCTGATGATACCCCCATTTTCTGTAATGCTTCTCAAGAGCAGATCTTGCATATCTCAGCCACTCTCGCTTGTTTTCAAGCTGTAACAGGATTGAAAATCAACTTGGATAAAACGGTGCTCTATACAGTGGAGGATGTTCCAGAACCAATGTTCTTTGCAGGCATAATTGGGTGTAAATGGAGCTCTAGTCCTCCTAAGTATCTCGGGTACCCACTCGGAGCGAAGTTGAATAACAGAAGTTTCTGGGATTCGATTGTGAACAACTACCAGAAGAGACTTCAAAGATGGAGCAACATATATCTTTCAATGGGGGGTAGGCTGACCCTCCTGAAATCCGTTCTCTCTAGTCTCACTACTTACTACTTCTTGTTGTTCAAAGCTCCTAATAGAGTGATCTCCATTCTGGAAAAGATGCAACGGGACTTTCTTTGGAGTGGTTCGGGGGATAAGAAGAAGATCCCTCTTGTAGAGTGGAAGTTGTGCAAATCGCATAAAAATAATGGAGGGTTGGGTATTGTGGACTTAGCCTCCTTCAACAGTGCTATGCTCTGTAAGTGGCTATGGAATTATGCTGATAGTAGAAATAAATGGTGGAGATCCCTCATTGATATAAAATACTTGAATGGGCTTTCAGAATGACAAACAGGATATAGGAACAGGGGTTGTTCTACTTCTGTTTGTGTTAACATTTAGAGGGATAGCGAGTTGTTCTGGAGGTTTTCCTATGTAGATCCAGTGAATGGCTCTGATGTTTCCTTTTGGTTCGGCCGGTGGAATCCGAACCTCAACATCACTGATGCATTTCCAAGAGTCGCCGTCGTTGCCTCAAATCCGGAAGCTAAGATCAGCGACGTCGTGGAACTCTCAGGTGACAATTTAATTATCAATTTAGATATTAATGTTGTGTTGCGAAGAGGGGCTGAACAAGAGAGGTTGAACTTACTTTCCATTCTTAATTCCTATTATTTTAAATCCATAATTAACAGTCCTTGCAGAGTTGTCTGGCAGCCTAACCCGGAAATGGGCTTTACAGTTAAATCTATGTACAGGGAAGTCACTGAAGTTAATCTTTCTGGGGTTCCTAATTTCCCGTCCAGCTCGGTTTGGAGGAAGGTTATTCCAGTAAAGATTTGCATGTTTATTTGGACTGCTGCGCATAAAAGAAACCTGACCCTTGATGCCTTAAAGAAGCGAGGTTTGATGCTTGCAAATCGTTGTGAGCTCTGTTGTAAGGAACAGGAATCTGTGAAGCATATTCTGGTTGGTTGCAGCTTTACCAGACAGGTATGGAACGTGATCGAGAAGGGATGCAGTTTCTCCAATCTTCCTGTTGGTGCTAATCTCGCAGCAACAATTGAGAATTGACCAGATTCTATTCCGAGTAATTTTGAAGGGTGGATTAAATACTATTCCTTCCATGGTATTTCCTAGTTCATATGACTTGAGCGCAACCAGAGGATTTTCCATAATGCCTCATCCAGTCCGGATCGGATTGCTACAAGATCAATTAACAACATTTCAAGGTGGATTGTAGCTAATGGCAACGCTGATCGCATTTCTGTAGCTGCTTGGCTTCAAATGTTTCGGTATCGGATTAGCTAAGTTTGGCGTCTTTCTTTGTTTCCGAGGATAACTGGGTCATAGAGCTGTCTCTGGTCGCTTTTTTTTTAGGATGTTTCTGCAGCTTTGCAGTGTCCTTGTGGGGTGTTTGGATGCTGTGCTGAGCACTTCTGTTGGGCAGGTCGGGTGTTTGGCTTTGTTGTTTCGTTCCCTGTTTTTCTTCAGCTTGGAGCAGGGGCCTTCTGGTGGGTCTAGCTATTTTGTTTTGTTTTTGCTGCTATTTGATCGTTGTTCTTCTTTTCTTCTTTTCCTGTCTTCTGGTTGCACTTCTGGTGCACATTTGTATCAGACCCTTTTATTTCAATTGAATTTTCACTTCATAAAAAAAATATCAAGATAAAACTTTATCCCCATATATCTCTTAGGATTGTAGGTTGCTTCTCCAAAAATCAGCTCCTTTAGCTTGGGTCACGTCATGTAGGCCATTCGCTAGGGTCATTGTGAGTCTTCTTATATCCAGAGACTTGCACTTCAATTAAGGTCCATTCTGAATTTCATCTTAAACCTACTTGTACTAGAAAGTCACAAAAAAAAAACAACCCAGAGGTCGTCTAATAATATATAAACACACATAGGATAGGACTGGCTATTTGGTCCAGACTTTTTGGTTTTACCCGAAACCGGACCGTATAACCAGGACCGAGACCGAATCGGGACCGGATAGCAAACAATCAGATCCAATTTTCGGGCCTTGATTTGAGGTTAAAAATCATTTGGGACCGGACCGAAAACCGGATAAAGACCGGATAAGAGAGCCCAACACACAAAATTTAACATCCTCACTCTTTAAGGCCCTAGGCCACTCAAATCCCCCCCCCCCCTCCCAGGCCACTCAAATCCCCACAAGCTCAATCTAAAATCAAGACCGAATTGGGACAGGACCGGTTCAAGAACGGACCGGATCAAGACCGGACTGTATCCAATCCAATATTTGATCCTTATATTCTAGAATAGACCGGATAGGGACCGGATCAATTTGGGCAATTTAACAGTACCGGACCGTATCACCCCTAAATAGGATCCAATAATCGTATCTTTGATGGTTTATTGCAATTTGATAAAAAAAACAACCAAGAATGTGCCAAGTAGAGATGGTTTTACCTGAAAATATGAGTAGAAAATATCACTTTTTCAAGTGTCTTCATCTCTGTTAGGTAACAAAAGAGGTTCGGTCAACGTAGTTGCTAATGCCTGCCCATCCATGTGATGGCTTGTTTCTTGCTTCCTATATCATTTCTTCTGATCTCTAGATAGCCATTTCTCTTGTGTCCAAGCAAAATGAGGGTGAGATAGGTTTTTGTCATTTCAAGGAAACCAATCATGTTCTTCTAAAGTTGGCATGGTGAAATCTGTAATGAGCTAGAGTCTATATATGTTAGCTTGTTTATACAAGGGGAGGTACTTTTTGAGTTCCTTTGTCTGACCTTTTGCTACCATGGGGATGACACAAGATCCTACAAGGTTGTGATTCTATGCAATGAGATTTGTCGGCAGAGATATATATGGTCAGGCACGACAGTGGAGGTTTTAACAGAAAATTGGGACTCTTCACGCCCTTGTCATGAGATCGTTGTAGTGCAATGGATTATGGCATCCTTAATACAGCCAACCAAGGGTCCCCGTGTGTGGATTGCATGAGGTAAATGTTTGAGGTGGATGCATTATGTGTGATAATGGATACTGTTTTGTGATCCCTTGTAGAACATAGTCACTTTAACGGAGTATTTATGAAGGCTACTCATATCATTTTCTTGTAAGGTTTCTATCCTATATATTACTCAAAACCAAAATTTATTATGCAAAAATAATAAAATTATATAGAAAAAAGGAACTATTTTTTCGTTGAATCATATCCTTGGATTAATAATCAGCCTAATTGGCAATCTGATACAGCGAGAATAGAGGCATACCTCTATGTACTCACAACTTTTCTACCTCTCACTACTCAACTTCACTGTATAGCTATTTTATGTACTATCAACAACACTATAGTGTTTTCTACTCTCTATCTAAGTGCAAAAAGGTCAGCTCCTCCTGCAATTGCTCATTATAGAGTTCCAGAAATTAAAGGTTGCGCTTAATATTACGTGTAAGCACTGCCAAGTAACAGTGCACCTTGCCATGAACACGATTTCAACGCTCCTTCTAGGTGCCAGTCACGAGAACACACAACAGAAGTCCAGCAACTCGACCGTGAGCAGATTGTTTTGGAGAAGCTTCAAAAGCAACAGTAATTATAGAATCCCAAGAGGATCGACAAAATATTTGTTCTAGGCCCAGGCCCTGAACCAAATCTTTATCAAAGGAACAAAAGAAGAATAGATGTTCTCTAGTTTCAACAGCTACATCACATAACAGACACTTAGGATCAATCAATTTACCGCATGTTGTAATTTATCTTTCGTCACTATGCTATGCAGGATTACCAACCATGCAACAATACTTAACCTAGGAGGGCAAAATTGATTCCAAATCAATCGATGCCATCACACATGGCTTTCTTTCACTCTAATGGAGTTCCATATTGTACTTACAGAGTATTTAGGCATAGGAATGATGTCCCAAAATACATATGCTTCCTGCTTGCTTAGCTTAGCTCCTATAGAATCTCTGAGTTCCAGAATCCTCCGTCACACCCAGGAACTGTTAGAATTTAGCTTCAGGAAGGAAATAGATCCATCCCCACATTTGTAAGTCTTCATCCAGGCCACCCAGATAGTCCCTGACTCCATTAAAAACAACCAAACATTCGCCCCACACATGCCATGTTCCACGATATTAAATCTTTAATCCATAGTCCACCCTCCTTTCGTGGTTTAACAAATCTCTCCCAAGAAAATTTGGCATTTCCTTCACCATCTCCATGCCATAAAAATTGGGGCAAACTCGATACACCCTCTTTATCACCTTCTTATGTAACAAGAAGATTTGCATCCAGTATCATATGATGCCCACGAACACTCAAGCCACCATATGTAGTCTCCCAGTGTAGGATAGGTTCTTAGCTCTCCATGTTTTCATCTTCTTTGTTAGCTTCTCCACAAGACAATCCACTTCTTTAGAGGATAACTTACTAGTTTATAAAGGCAACCCCAAGTATCTAACCGGCAAGTGACCCTTCTGAAACCCAGTAAGTGCAAAGTTGTATCCTTATATATCCCTGACTCCCCTCCAAAATAAACTTCACATTTTGCAGGATTACACTTCAATCCATATAACAAATAGAATTCTTCCAAATGCAATTGCACTCGTCTAATAGCTTGCCCTGATTCAACCGTAAAAATCTTCAAATCATCCTCAAAACTGAGGTGATTAAGAATAATCTTTTTACATAAAGGGTGGAACAGAACTATCATCCAATGATGTTTGCCTCATCAGACTAGTTATTAAAACCCTCCATAGAAATAGTGAATAAGTAAGGAAACAGCGGATCACCCTATCTATTCCCCTTCTAAGCTCTAAAGAAACCACATAAGCCCCCGTTAATGTTATATTGTAATGTGAAGTATGCAAAAAACTACGAATCCAATTCACAAATTGATCTGGGAAAGCCATCAGTTTCATCATAAGAAAATGATAAATCCAGCTAACTGAATCGAAAGCTTTCATGATATCCACCTTGATTTCACATCGAGAAGAAAGTTGTTTGTTATGTTAGCCACTCACTAGCTCCTAAACCATTAAAATATTATCCATGATTCTTCTACCTCTTATATAAGCATACTGGTTCTCACTAATCACTAAAGACAAAAACATATATAAGTCATTGCGCTACAATTTTAGCTACAATTTTATAGACTAGATTTACACAAGAGATAGGACAATAGTTCTTCACATTAGTTGCATTTGGTACCTTGGGGCATAGAGAAACAGCAGTAGCATTGAAGCCACTAGGCATAACACCCTTCTGAAAGAACTCGAACACACCTACTATGACATCCTTGCCTATAGTACTTCTTTTTTTTCAAAATTGAAATAGAGGAAGGTTTATGATAAATTAAATAGTATCAAAGCGATTATCTAGAGTATTCTCCCCTTAGGTCTGACGGATTTTCATGTCATGTGATTTATTTGACCCTTTAGATGGATTTCATACCATCTTATGTCTAACATCTATTAGATCTAGTAGGCTATAATGGATCCTACAGATTTCTCTTTTGATGAGCTTGCATAGTTCAATCAATTGGTGATCGATTCTGAGAGATGGTTGTGTTGAGTCTTATCCAACTCTAAATCATATTCGAAGATATCAATGCGTGAGATGATAGCTTCAATTAGGTATGCAATCATATACTAACAACAATAAATCCAAAAAAAAAAACATCAAACAATCATCACATAAACAAATTAATCCAAAAAAGAACATCAAACTCTAAATCAAGCATTGATGCCACTAGGGTTCTACGTAATCCATATAATCTAAGGGTTTAGCTATACAAGAATAATACAGGAGAAATCACAAATACAAGAAGGAGGGATGAAGGAATTTTTGACTCTTTTCCGATGGAGTTGCTCGCTCTCTGTAACTAGATTCAATATTGCATGGCTAGGGGGCTAACGTATGAGGTTTTTCCAAGTGATGCGGAGATTGTTAGGATAAATTTTGGGAGGGGCGGACAACTGATTGTGGTGGACTTTTAGGATAAGATTTTAGCTATTCACAATAATTTTCTACATTTTGAAGTATGATTAGTTGGACATTCTGGTAACAAGGTCGCTTGTTTGCCATGAAAGGTCTTTCGTTGTTCACTTCTTTGTTTCATATATGTTTTTTACTATGTTGATTTCTTGTCCCTTCGAGTGGTTTTTTGCCCAAAAAATTTAATTTTCAAAATGGCAGGTAATTTGTAGAATGATAGAAACCTGCAGGTTACATATTAAAAAAACTAGCTAGCATATACATATAAATGCTTTTCGATCCTCTGCGGATACTTTCTATTCACAAAAAAATATTTACTACCTACCTATATGTTACATATAGCCTTCATTTTCTGATCATTTTTCCTCCTTAGACGGCCTCACTCTCAAGAAAATAGAGCTTTACATGGAAAAAAGTTCTTACAAAGAGGAAAACATATATTCAAAAGAAAAAAGAAAAAAATATAAACATCTCTATATAACAGTGCATAAAAATTTACTGAATATTTTCTGATATACTCTTTGCTTTCAGTATTTCTTTCTTTTCCCTTTACCCAAAGTTAAATGGCATAAGAGTATGCGCGAAGGACACAAAACTTTATATTTACTAATTTTCCTGCTTTTCTTTTTTGTACATGGCAGTGTGTTTTTTTCTTTTGTTTGGGTTGTTTGGGAAAAGAAAAGAAAAGAGATGCATTTGGGTTTTGGGCCTTGGACACTGATGATCACATCTTCTCCCCCACTGTTTTCAATTATTTGCTTCCTCAGGTGCTCATTCATGTTCTCACCACCCGAACTGGATCTCCATGAACACAATTGGAGATAAAAACAAACGAAGATATGAGAGTGAGAACAATTGTCAACCAGAATCCATATATTACTTTCCAGAAAAATATTACTAAGATAAGTTTGAATTTATGAAGAAAATATTATTTGATAAAGCATCTCAATGCGAATCGTTTGAGCCTACCTTGAACTCACGCATACCGGGAAAAATAATTAGAGCATTTCAAATATAAAACCATTTCATTGATTGTCAATGACTTAATTTTTCAAAATGATAGGATGTGAATTAAGTCTAGAGGTAGACTATGTCAAATTACATGCCATACCATTAAACCTTTATCTTTATGAAACTTCAACTAGTTCAAACTAACATTTTCTGGGTTAAATATCATGTCTATAAATATAGAAGAATTTAAACAATACATTATTTTTTTGTTTAACTTGATGGTTGTAAAAAAATTATGGGGGAGGGGGGAATCTAATTGAAGTGTACCAATCTGAGTGTTTGAGTGCTTACCAGCTTTTTCTTCTTTTTCTTTTTCTCAAGATAAGCCAAAACTTCTTGTTGTGCTGAAAGTGAATCATCCAAAGCCTGAAAACATAGTTTATATTGTGTTAAACATTTCTCTACTATCTCCTTCTCTCTTCCTCACTATCTTTCTAAATCACTCGCACACTCTAACCATCTTTTAGTAAATTTGTGATTGCAATTGTGTCTTATACCTTCTTGGTGGCAGCAAGCTCCTCCTCTAAGGTGTCAATTCTTGTTAAAGCACCATTCAACAAATCCTCTTTCTCAGGTGGCATCAAGTTTGGTCTATTGCTCAACACAGTCACTTTCTCCTCCATCTCATTCATCCTTTTCACCACAGCCATGAATTCTGATACCGCAACAGTAGGAACTGCTGGCTGGGTGACTATTGGCTGTTGCATTCTCTGCATTGGTTCCTCACAATAAACTGGACTAGAGTAGATGGTTGAGTTTGTCAACTTCTTTGGCATGTTCCTAGTCACCTTGATCATCGTCACGATCCCAGTCACGAATGCCATCACTCCAGTAATTAATGGTGAGCTAGCCCCCTCTGCAAGTAACCTTTGAGCATCTATGATAGGGAAGCTCTCTGGTGGTAACTTGTGAGGATCCAGTGCAACTGCAAAAAGTGGGAAACAATTCACTCGTCAAGAAGTGATTATTATGTAACCTATGATCTTTTAATTAGAAATCTTAATTTTGTATGTAATTATACCTTTACCCATGGAAGCAAAGTTATGATTGTGAACGGCATTCTTCCACCTCATATTTGTTGGTTTCTCAATTATGGCATTGTATCCTTTGAATGACATCTTCTGGATAAATGATGAGTCATTTAGATTATTCCAACATCTTAAGCGCATCAGTTGATGAGATGTAAATTAAATGACTTACTTTCTGACTAACTTGGTGAAGTATAGGAGCAATCTGAGGATGCTCGATTTGGGCCCTTGTTGTTACTATAGTGTCATCCACTTCTGGAACTGACTCCACCTTAGGTGAGTTACTTGCCTGTGCAAAAAATATAAAAAGGTAATTTGGGTACTTCTATTAACCAAGCCATATGTATTTACTTGTTCAAATCATGAAACCTTTGAATAGATTATCTCGTCTTCTGAGATGGTCTTCTCGTCTGGTTTATCAGCAATTTCACTAGTCTTTCTACATTTGTGCTCCCCATTTTGAATCATCTTAAAATGTAAATGAAACACATAGTATAGGTAATTAGAATGCAATTGAAGAATTTGAAAACGTTGTAAGATTTTTTTATTTTCACTGTTGGCAGAATCAGTTCCCACCTTAATGATGTCAGGATCTTTCCAAGGACCTTTATCAGAGCGCATGCAACCACCTTGGTCTTCACATGTGCAAGTTCCTCCCAAGAAGTCTGGCAGCTCGCTAACCACAACACCAAAAAAGTTTAAAATTTATCACCTTTAATCAATTCGTATTAAGGAATAGACCAAAGAAAAAATCACCTAGCATCAATGATCTCAAGCAACTTGCTTTGGTACTTGTTCCCAAGAACCTGTTAATTCCACGCCCTCTTTACTTATTAGTAGTCTAGGTGAGCTAGAATGAAAAGAAGCAAGGATTTCAAAAACTTAAGAGAAGTAATTGCACGCTCAAAACTTACATGGATCTTAGCAGTGGTCTTAGGATCAAGGAAGGACTTAACAGTGTTCCACAACATTCTAAATCCAGAACCGGCATTGATGATGAACATTCGATTCAAAGTCTGCAATATTTTTAGTTATACATAGATACAATAGAAAGAGCATTTCACAGTCCTAAGACCAAAAGGTAACAACAAAAGGGGGTAAAGAAGGTTATGAAGTACCTCAGGGTAATTGTCACCATCAACCTTCTGAAGACGGGTAATGAGCTCCCTTGCGGCCTTGTTGAAGTTCTTCAAACCCTAGGATGCCAAAAAGAAATTTGTTTCACTAATGTTGTTGTAATAAAAATCAAAGAGGAAAACTTTATAACTTTTTGTGGGTTCCATTAGTCATGGGCACATACCACTCCTTGAACATCCAAGATGGTAGTACTCTGATCAATTTGTCTTTTAGCAGCAATGGTACATGCAGGGAACTTAATGGCAAAAGTCCTCTCAAATTCTTGAACATGGTACTTCACATATCTATCCATATTAGTTGCTTGCATGAGTTTGGTTGCGTCTACCAATCCCAGCCTCTCAATGTATACTGGCCTGCCTTCCATATCTACTCCATGATGTCCTTGTGGGTAATGTTGTAGGACTTCATTTATTTCATTGAACTCAAAATCCTTCACCCCAAAAATTAAAAAATTGATAAGAAAAATGATATTTCGTCTTCTTTAAAAGAAGTTTTTGAATTTTAATTACCACATTATTACCTCCATGATTGTGTCTGATCCAAATTCCTTCCTCCATTGGAGCATATCTGACCACATTTGCTTAGTTTTCTCGATGTCAAATTTCCTAGCCTTCAAGAACCTATAATCATATTTTACAGAATGAGGCTTTCAATTCGAAGAAGATTTGATAAAGAAAAGTAATAAGGATGGAACCTAAGCATCATGTGGTAATCATCATGCTTGGAAGGCAAAAGCTCGTCCAAGATAAGAGCCTGTCGAAAAGCATCAACTGCCTTCAACTCCTCGGCATCATGCTCATCCTCAATCTCGATAGACATTATTTTGCTACTCCTTTTTCCTCCTCTTTTTATCAATGAGTTTCTCAATTTGTTGGATGCATTAATTGCTCTTTGCTTCAATGACTCTGTTCTATTGGGCTTCTTCTCATGCAACGACTGCTCTGTCTCGACCACTGCACCAAACTATAATAATCTTTAATCTTAACAACCAAACCAATCAATTGTTCATTCACACATAAAAAAAAGTTCATGAAGTAGAGAATCAAAACCTGGCGGTGTATTTGGCTGAGACAATGCAGCCATTACCCGGGGGAGAAACTTTTGGATTCCTTTTTTTATGTTACTTTTTTACTTTTTTGTTATTTTAAAGGTTTGAGAAAACCTTGTAAAAACAAGGGGAAAGAAGAATCAATCAATCATAAGTAACTACCAAAGCCATAACCAAATGCCTGCAATACAAAAACTCAGAAACCCAACTCTATAACATCAGCAACCGATAAAAATTACAATGATTAGAAAGTACTGGAGAAATCATAAAATTTTACCTCCGTAGAGGGTAAAGGGTATCTAGAATGGGAAAGAAATGATTTTAGAATGATATAATGAAAAGAAGGAAGAGTTTGGGTACAACGAACATTTGGAGATTTTCTCGGGGAAAGAGAAAATATGTGAGGCCAATAGAACGTTGTGACATTAAATCTAAATTTGGTGGGACCGTAAAGTTTTTATGGTGTAACGAACAAATTGACCAAGTCTTCATTTTTCGTATATCAATGACCCTCCTTTAAGTTGCTTCTTTTAGCTTAAGTTGTTTTACCCCCTCCCCCTCTCCATTTCATATGAACATTCAATTAAAGGTTTGAGGTTAGTGGCACTCAAAGTAATTCACCCTAAAAGAAATCATGATAGCATGAAATCCAATTAAACCCACTTACCCTTAAAATACCTTTTCACATTCTGTAACCACCCACCCACTTTTTTATATCACATCCCATGCCCTACATTTCATTAGATCACTCGTGCATGCACAAGCATCCGCCTCATAATTAAGCTGACATGAAACACAATCTATCATCCCACCCTCGTTTGTCGTCGCCCGTCAACTTAGCATGCTCAAGTCTCATTCCAAATTTCCAAATCATCCCAAGAGCTCAATCATACAGTTGTGTAATATCATATAATTTTTCCAAATCTTGATATAAAAAAATCCCTCTCCATCCATCTTAAGTTGGCCAAACACTAAAAAACTCTACTTAGCCACTACATCTTGCTACCCACCTGGATTTTATAATAGTGGTGCAAATTGAATTAAAAACTAAAGAAAATGATGAAATTCTTCAAACAAATCAAAAAAGAAACGCATCCATCATAGGAGGTGCCGAGAAAAAAGGCTAAATAAAGAAGAACATATAAGAAAATGCCATAACAAGAGATTTGGTAAAGTAAGAAAAACCAATACAATAATTAGCACCCTGCAACACTACAAACACAACACGTCAAAGTAGTTACAAGAAGACACTCACAACAAAACCACAACTGTAGTATGAAGTAACAAGCCACACCATGCCATCCGAACTATAACTCTACTAGAAAAACACTAAAAGAAAGTGGCGAGCACACAGCAGTGAAGCAGACATCACCACCAACTCCCTCTTGAAAGACTCTAACCGGAAGGTTGCTTCACATGAATCCCTCTCACGTATGTTGTCTCAACCATTGAATTCCTCCTAATTTCTCTATTTCCCATGAGCAACTAGTCATTACAAAGTAGACTTCACAATTCGCTGAGATAGCATCATTGGTGAGAGGCTCACTTGATGACAATATTTGTTACCTACAAGCCACACACTTCAACACACAACATGAAGGAGACAAAACTGAAAACACTCCCCAATGCTCTCCCTTTTACAAACTCGTAATTGTTTGATTGTTGACATAATGTCACCATCACATGTTGCAACTCTTCTACTGACACGGCTAACTCTACTATGCACTTCACGGACAAAATTGCAATTAATGAAAAGTGGTTAATCATCTCCTCCTCACAAAGACAGAGCTCACACATGTTTACAAGAATCCACTTGCGTCTCTTCAATTTTTCCAACCTCAATATCCTCTTAGGGTATATAGTCGAACAAAGAAGCACACCTAAAATGGAATGTAAGCCTTCCACACCAAAATATGAGGGAAATCATGATAGCCCATATACAAATCTTCCAACAAAAGTCTGTAATTAGTTGTGTATAAGCATAATGCTTTACAGTCATCCAGGATCTATGAGCAAAGTATATCGATGAGATATTTAGAACTCCACCTGGTTTTAAGCAATCTTTCTTTGATTCATAGCGATATATTGTTTTCTAAGATTACTCAAAAGATTAGATTATGGCATGCAAAGAAGCTTCATTATGGAGGACGGTTGACACGCTAAAACACAACACTAAACTGCGACCAAGTATAATCGCAGTCCGGTAATGCAGTAAGTGGCACGCTCTATTTGTCAACCCGGGGTCTAGATCTACTTCCTACTCCGTGTTTATCTATTATCTAGCAAACTAAGTCTAGTGGTTGTTGATTTTAAGTAAAAGCAGTAAGAAAGCTGGAAATGATTCGATTTTCTAAAGCAAGGGAAGAGTCACTCGAGAATGAGTCCCCCTAACTCCTTAGTTAGGTCACAGTTGTAATTACCCTGGGTTGATTAACTGTTGATTAAAATTCGAAAGATCCGAAAGTAGCTTGGAATCTCTTAAGCTGACCAAGCCCTCTTAGTCCAACTACTCGGCGACAACTATGTCTTCACCGGGGTAGAAAGCTAAGGCTATGAACGCAGTTGTCCACTACTGGAATTGGATTCCAGTACAAAGCAGTAAATCGATTAACTCTCGTATAACCAATCTACCACTACCGATTGATGAAGCTCTAACAACCTAATCAGATTCTATCTATCTCAAGTTGCAGCAGAAATCAAGAAAAGATGATCAGACTTCAATTGACTCAATAAATCATGCATCAATCGATTAAAATCAATCAGTATAACAATCCCAAGTCATTACAATCAAGATCCCTAACACATGGAACTAGGGTTCTTCATACCCAAGTGAGAGAAGGTTCTACTCCACAGAGAGAGAGGAAAACAAAAATCAGAGTAATCATACTCATAACAATGAGGATAATCTGCTCCGGGATAACGATCTTCACTCCTGGGGATGAAATCTGGGCTTCAATGGTGAGAAATCCACTCCAAATAGCTCCTAGGGTTTTTTCTTTGCACTTTCTCTCTCTAAAACTCTGTTTTTGCTCCAAAAAGTCGATTCCCTCTCCTTTTGCTCGAATCACTCTCAAAAACCCGATTCAGGGTGAAATACAGGCTGAATTACGGTCGTAATTCTTCCATGCCCGTATTTTGCCCAAAACACGCGTTTTCTTTAAGTTTCAATGCATCCAAGGCTCCTCTCGGCAGTGAAAATACGGGCATGGGAGGGGAAATACGGTCGTATTTCTCCTGCCTGTATTTCTTCCTTCGCTCCTGTTTAATGCTTCGTTTCTCCCTCGTCCGGACTCCGAATCAGTCTTCGTTTGATCCCAGACGCTCGTAGTCTCGTCCTGTTTCTTTTAATGAAAATATTCCATGATTTTTTGTCGATAATATGAGGTATAAGTCCATTATTCCTCAGGTCATGCTCGTGTTTCTTCTCCCGAATTGCCAAATGATCTCCGATTGACTTGAAACTTGCGCCTATACTTCAATTTACATGCTAGGACCTGAAATATGACAAAGGAACACAACCTAGCGTAAAATAGTCCAAGAAATCACAAATTTGAGCCTAAACAGTTAAGAAACAACGGTGCAAACATGTGCAAATACAACGCTATCAACGGTTTCAATTCATATCATCAGTTCTTATTATGCAGTTCTGGATGCAAGTCCTAAAAAAACATTGAAACAAATTCATAGTCCATGTTCTAACTTCCTTTGACATTAGGGTGATGAAGGGAGAACTAAAATAGGTTGGGACAAAGGGCCATACCTAGAAAGAAAGGAGGTCTAGGAATTCGATAAATGTTTACATTGCATAACGAGGATGCTTTGGCACTTGCTAATGCAGTGTGGAATAATTTGGGGTGGCATGGATGTGGAAGTATAGGGTGAATTAAGGTATAGTATAGATTGTTATTATTATGTCAAATAGCTTTTAGTTTTGGAGAAGAGTTCTAAAAATATGTCATGTGATTCAAGCTCATCTAAGTATGCAAGGTTCAGTTCTTTACTTGAATGGTATGCCTATGTATAAGTTCACTGTTGTTATTGTATGGGGCACTATGAGACCCAATGGCCTGTTTTTTAGTGGGCATCTCTTGTGTAGGGGAAGGCTATATTCCATGTTTTAGTTTCTTTAACCTGGTTGGTGCTGATTGATGGCACTGTAATGAGGGATAAATTTCTAAGATCGGGGAAATAATGATGGTTTATACTTGCTTTGCGTTAACTAAGATGAAATAAGGGAGCACCTTTTCTTTCAATGCCCTTCCGCTTGAAGACTGTTGGATGATATTAGATGTATTAGTATGTTTTTCATGAGTTCATAGAAAGCATCAATTACTGTGACCTGTGATCTCTCCAAAAAGCAGACTACGGTTAGGCATCTTGCTGGCATACTCTAGTGTTGTGTGGCATACATGTGGAAGGAGCATTGTAGGAATCTTTATGGAGAGTAACCTCGAACTCTTGAAGTTTTCAGTTTTCTTGATTCAACATTTGCTTTTTGTGATTTATTATCAAGCAAATTGTTGTACTGATTTATTTTCACCAAGTATTTCAGTTAGTTGAGAGAAGGCATAATGATTAGCAAAGTTGCTAGTTAGATACACTTCATTTTTTGGTCTATGCTTTTGGGATTTTCCTTTGGAGTTTCACTTTCTGTTCTATCAGGATTGAAGAATGAACTTTGGATGCTTTTGTATGTAGGAATAAAAGCACCCGATTCACACAGACACAAAAAAAGAACAAACTTGTAAAGCACATTAACACAAGAAAATAGGGGGAAAGTAATTTATACTATGAGATGTGTGGATTTCGAGATGAGGCTAACAATCGTAGAGGTGACAAAGTGAGGCAATATAACTAATTTACATATGCTAAGTACTTTAATAGTGATTATCAGGGCCTACAATCGTCCAGTATGTTTACAAAATCAAGATATGAACTCATCCACCCTTGGAGCTCAATGAGCATTAAGTGAAACTGTTGGAGCTATCATATTTTTGTTGTGACAACAGAACATAAAACATTCTTCTCTTCCTTCTCAAATGTAGACTGAGCAAAGAATTCCATTTATACTGGTGTGGGTTAACTGCATAGTCATCAACCCAATGAGTAGCTAGTAATAAGACACCAGTTATTGTACAATGTGATCCATGTTAAGATAACGACCATCATCAGTGAAAAGTTTTCAAATTACCTTCCTCATATTTCCAATATTAACATATTGGTGAAAGAAACAGGTGCTAGAAATCATGCATACCCAACCAAGATATTATCAATTTCTGCTTGTAAAAGCTATATTCTTGTAACTTTAATGTATTGAAGTGCTTCATTAGACTATCCATTACCTCAAAATTCGAGAGTGTAGGTCTCTCAAAGACTATCTAAGTAGCCTACAACTTGCTTTCCAAGCCTTTAAATTGAGAACTAATATAAAAAAAAATCACACCTATTACAGATTTTAAAGGATTTCTTAACTTCCTATAGCTTGCATAGAATATGATAGAGAGGGTAACCATCAATGAAAAACCGATAAAATTTCTACACTACATTTAGAACAAGCAAGCAACCACTCAACATTCACTAGACTAGCTAGAATCATGTCATGCTTCCTAGGGATTGGACGGCTAGATTGCCTATTGGTCCTTGAAATTATACATGCTAGAACTAACTTGCACAAGATTGGACGTCTCTCCTGGACTAAGAACTGCATTGAAGTCACCACCTACACTAAACGGGCATCACTTATCTTTAATCTCTTCATTTCCATATAGGTAACCTTCCCTATCCGCTCATCATTGGAGCCATAAACTGATTTGATAAAAATAACTCTCACATGTCGAACGTGTTACAAATATGTAAAAAAATTCTTGCTTGGTATCACGACTGGTAGAGTGAAATTCAAGGACGAGAGCTACCAAAGACGCCCCAATTCTGATTCTAGATAGCTCAAATACTTCTCCCGACAGCTCATGTGATTATGAAAATGCTTTATTGGATTTTTTTATGTATACATCTTTCTATAATAGCTACTACATCTACTTTTTGTTCGGTCTTAAAAATACAACAAAATCCTTAAGTTTGAAGGCTTGACTAAACCCTCGCACATTCCAAAATAGGATAATAATCTACAAGGTTCGAGAACCCAAAAATTAAAGAATATTGCATACCGGAAGTACAAAAAAGCATACCATAAACTAAAAATTGACACCAAAAACTCAGGAATGCATATTACTATAAAATTATATTTTTTAATTTTTGTTGAAAAGATATCAAGATGAATCTCATATTGTAGTTCATAATTTATATCAAATTTCTTTGTGCAAAATTATTTGGAAACTGATCAAAATGAAAGAGATATTATTGGTAAAAAATAATTAGGGCTTAGTTATTAAAAAGTGAGAGATAAATCCCTATGGTTAGACTTATCTAAAAACTTATATTTGTTTTAGCGTTATAATGTTATAATATTATTTTCTCTAAATACATGCCAAAAACTAAGGAATGAGTACCCGGAACGCTAGTATGCGTACAAGAAACACAACACTATATGTCAAAACACAAGAATACATACCCAAACCAATATAACACATATTAAAAATCCTCTAAAGTATACCAAAAATACTAAATGTACACCAGAAACACAAGAATACGTGCAAAACACTAAGAAATGCATGTAGGTATCAAATTGCCTTTCATTTTGTTGCTAAACAACATATCAAAGTGAAAAATCATATTGTAGATCATAATTAATTTGATTTTTACGTACAAGTATATTTGAAATTCAAGATAAAATGGTAAAGATATAATATGTTAAAAAATAGTGAAGCATTAGTTATCTAGAAAATTAAAAATAAATTCTTTAGTATTGGATTAATCAAGAAAATCAAATATATATTAGCAACATACACTTTGCAGGTTGTAACTATGGAGAGTTCCAAGCCACCTTGACTTGGAGGAAACGGTTGATCGCTTTAACGAAAGCGGTTGACCACTTCATTAAAATGATCGACCTCTTTCTTGAAACAATCGACCATATTACACACTTACATTAAGACCCAATCATGACAAATTAATAGAACAGTCTATCGCTTGTAGGTTGCAGTAGACCTAATAATGAAAAATTCCATGTTCAGAAAGAAACTAGTCGACCGCACCATAGAGAGGTCGATCGGTTAAGATTAAGAATATATTCATACCTCAAGAAAATGTTGTGGAGAGTGCTCTGAAGACAATGAACTACATGATTGCACATGAAAGGTCTATCAGAAAACTAGTGTGGTCAACCTTTTGATCTATAAGTATTTCACCAACATCTACATTTATATTCTAATCTCTTTTCTTCTTCACCAAGCTCCATAGCCACAAGAATTTGTTAAGACGATTTTTTAGTGGAATAAATAAAGTATATGGTTTTTTTATAGATGTTTATATTGCTATTAACTCAGGTTAAGTGGTGGCAAAGTCCTTATTTCGTACGGAAACTTTCTAGGGTGAATCATCATTGAACATTGATAAGGTATTGGCCAATTTATTTGCCAATTGACTATTACTTTTCTTTGTAATGATACTATAGTTTCATCCGGTCGACCATTTTTTCCAATTCAAACTAACTTGCGAGTCAGCATAGCAAAGTCTTAAGAGTTTATAGTCTTATTCTGCTATCATCCCTTGTGAGGAAAGATAAACCATTTATGCTTTATTTGTTATGAACCCAGTCACAATTCGTGCTAGTCCACATGGAATGGAATAGATAATTCAGGCTATAGTACATATGTTAATTTGATTGGACAAGTCTGTACTACAATGTATCAGCTTTCCATGGAGATACTTGGGTTCTACACCATGGTACATATCATATTTAGTATCATCGTAGTATAAAGTATTATCCCAAACACGTATTTGAAATGAATGAAATGTGTTTTCCAAAAATATATAAAAGAATATCATTTTTAAATAATATTTAATTCATTTTCTATCCAAAAAGAAGTAAAAAAAATTATATTTTCAAAGTTGAAATGAGCTCCTAATCGTATAAAACGAGTCTCCTAGAAACTCTTGGGTTTGAGAAGGATTTTGAAGCTCATTCCTACAATTTAGCTTCATTTACAGAAGCAAGGCCCAATACAAACATACTCTCTGAAAAGAGTATGGGACACACTTAGAACAAAACGATAGCTTTGCTTGGTATGGATTGGTATGGAATAAATATTGTATTCCTGAATTCTGCTTTATCTATTGGTTATTGGTAAAACATGTCATTATCATCAAAGACAATCAATTGAGATGTGGGAAGCTAGTTTATGATACATGTATCTTGTGTAATGAAAGGGAGGAATCCAGATGACTCGTTCTAACTACAACATTCCGATCGACGGCCAAGTATAACCGCCAATCGAGTGTAGCATAGGGCAAGCAAGCAATAAGAATTTATCGTATCACAGGGATCTAGGCTTATCATAGTTTAGGTTTAGGGTTCGTTATCTAGCCCACCTAGGGTAGTGATTGATAAAGCTAAACTAACTAACCTAGACTAACCACTAACCTAGCTATTTACAAGGTTGGGAGCTCTCTTGGGTTGAATCGTCCTAGGTTCGTTCTTTGGATCGATGTTGGGTATCCTCCTAGCTCGGTCGACTCAAATACACTACCGTTTGGAGATGGACCCCCTCGGGAATGACCCGGAACGGGGAATCGATGGATGGGTAGAGCTCTATTCAACATAGGGTTTCGTATAATGCTAGGAGACCGGTCGAATCAACTCCCTCGGGAACTACCCGGACAATATAGGATAGGAGTGACCCGAAGACGCCAAAGGGGCTCTAAGGGGATTATCTCCCTCCTACGTCAAATCTCAATACATGAAAATGGAAACCCAACTCATGCCATTCATGAAAACATCCATCAATTAAGTAAAATCATCAATCAATCATGGATTTTGTCACATACATCAACATTAAAACCCAAATCCAGACCTAGGGTTCTTAAACCCAAGAGAAGGGGGTGAGTTTCTAGAGAGGAGAGAGGAGAGATCACAAAGAAACCTCTAGATCTTCTTCTTCTTATAGGCTTGATTCCTAGCTTCCAAGCTTGATCAATGCCTTCAATTAACCTCCAAGATCACTCCCACTCTCACTAGAACTCCCCTTTGGTGTTTTCGGTTGAAACCCTAGAGAAATAAAGTGTTCCTTCTCCAAAACCCACCCCTCTCCTTTCTCTCTCCCCATGTAGTCTTCATATTTGCCCGAAAGTGACTAGTTCACGGCCGCGTTGGCCAGCTCACGGCCGTGAACACCTAAACGTGTCTGTGAACTCAGTGTCGTCTCCAAAACACACAGCTTCACTCTCATGGGTTCATGGTTTGTGCTCCAAGTTCACGGTTTTAGAGATTGTGAACTCCCTTGGCGTCAGTAGCTTCTGGAACCTCGCTAGACGCCTCGATGTTCATGATTTTTCACTTTTTGGCACTTTTCGACCTCCAATCGAGCCGAAACGCGTCCTCGACCTTCCCACATGTGCTAGGACCTGAAATGTATCAAGGGACGATAAAACGCAAAGCCAAACTATCAAGATGTGAGGAGTAAAATATGTCGAGGGACGATAAAATGCAAAGCCAAACTATCAAGATGTGAGGGGTAAAATGTGTACAATTGGACCCGAATCACCCCCCCCCCCCCCACACACACACACACACACACTTGAATGTTTGCTTGTCCCCAAGCAAACCAAGCGCAAAACAAGGTAATCTTACAACTTCTTTTTCAACAAAATTTTTAGGGCATTCATAGGGCACAAAACGAATGAATCATAATGGTTATTTGACACCAACCTATGGACAAAAACAACGTAATCTTGGAAACCACCACAAACAACATTCAACTGTATTAAGATTGTGCAAATGAAGAGTTGTTACATTATTCAAGAACCAACACACAACATGCCTCGGCGACTCACCAGTCACAGTTACTCATGCATAAAGATCACATCATAGGAACGAACGATCGAGCAACGTAAGTCCTCACCGGGGTATAAGAAATGAACAAAACATGATGAATGAATCTCTCATTCTCGACCAATGGGGTTAGGACCATTGGATGCAAAAGATGTGCATATTCACGCTCAATCCATACGTCCCTTTACCATTACGGTAACCTCTAAATGTTAGAGTTCACAAGATGGGTATCGTTGCTAGCTTGTCCGGAGGTCTTAGACACAGGTTCAAATGACTGGCTAGGGTCTCGGACATGGGGAAAAGGCTTTTTGGGTGGTGGCACGTAATTCATGTGGTTCCACAACTTCAACCTAGAACCAAAGTACAAGGTTCCTTAGCTTCGATCTAGAACCTTCCTCAACAAACAATGGCCACTAACAACGACCAAAAACTACACTTCCCACACTTCCAAAACACAACCAATCACCAACCCATTCGCAACAATCTTTCTTTCTACATTTGCTATTCAATTTCAAGCACAAGAGTGTGGTAGACAAACAACATGTAAGTGTTCCTAAAGCTTGCATGCTAAGCAACACTTCTAAGAGCATGTTCAACATTTATTAGAGAACTAAAAACATGCCACATTTTCTCTTTTTTTCTCTTTTTCTTTTCTTTACTCCTTTCTTTGAGGGCTATAGAGAACTAAAAAATGCCACATTTTGTAACTTAAGGAACAATGCCTCCTTTTACAAACTACCTCCACACTCACTTCACTTTTTAGCAAAACCATACACAAATCACTCATGTGGAACCTCGTTTAACCTTAAATGGTATGAGTGGATCTTCCAAACACAAGGGTGACTCGATAACGGTGTAGACACTAAGAAAGTAGGGTCGTTCTATCTAAATCAATCAAGCTCAAGTAGCGTGAGCTACCTAACACTAGAACAACCCTTAGACACACGGCTCAAAAGGGTTGACTAAGGGATAATATGATCGGGTCGGTGAACTTTTGGGTCGTGGGCTAATCCTATGCCTCCATCTTCCTCGCTAGCAACAACGTGAATGCTACGCATCATGTAAAGGGGGATCTATCACAGAATAATGAACCGAATGACACAAGTCTCACATGGCTACCTAGGTTCACAAACATATGAGAAAATAACCTATGCACAAACCTAATACAAGTCTCAATCGTCATCATAGGTTGCACATAATCACAAGCAAACCATCCATAGATCATGCTAATACCCACGAGATTCAAAACAAAACAACACAAGATGCCACTATGACCATGCAAATGTAGAAGTTGTTATGCTTGGAGCCCTCAAATTTTTTCAAAATTGGCCATTCAACGAGGCTCCAAGCGTTCATAATCAAACCAATCATTCATACACATGCATAATAGACTACCCCCCCCCCCACACACACACTTGAGATTTACATTTCCCTCAATGGCGTAAAGTAAGGAGGTAGAAGTAGAACGGTGTTACCGGATATGATGTGAATGGTGGTGGTAGGGATCAGAGGTCGGGCGACATCCAAAAGAGCAAGGAGATGGCAAAACACCACCAAAATATCTCCAATGGTCTTCTTATTGGAACGGAAAGCAAACAAACCGATGGTAGATGGTTTGCCTCCCACCAAGCGCTTCTTTAACATCGTGAGCGGGACGGTTGCTCCTCAAGTTTCGGTCCACCCAAGAACCTCCTTGAAGTTGAGGTTCTCATCGGTGAGGTGATGTCTCAAGTCACGAGCTTGGACGAATCCATGATTGAGGACTCGTGAACTTGAGTTGTCATGAGGCTCCACCCACGAGACCTCTCCTTCTTTCCTTCTCCTTCTTTCTTTTTGCCCCACACCATGTAATGCATCATCGATTTACCACCATCGCATCCACCAAGAGGTATTGCCAATGGTTTGGCCTTGGCTTGGCAAAGAGCCTCAAATGGGTCCTTCTCCAAAAGTGCATCGAGGTCGGGTGGAAAGCTTTCATATCCCTCGTAACTTGTGGATGCTTCATCCACCCCGACCTCGTCCTCATCTTGGACCTCACTTGATCCTTCTACTTCAAACTCAACCTCCCTTCCTTCTTCTTCAATTTCCTACTGTTGTGAAGAATCAAGATATTCCTCCTCTTCAATGATCACTTCCTCCTCTTCTCCCTTTTCTTTCACCTTCCCATTCATGTCTTCAAGCACGGTTTGGAGGGCAAGATGCCATGCAAGATCATAGAAAGGATTCTCTTGCTCCTCCATACTCGTGACTTGGTCTTCAAATTTGCTCTCGGGAAGGGGAAAGTGATGAGAGTCGTCAATTTAACCTTCTTGTTCGTTCTCACCACGAGAGCTCTCCAGGGTGAGTTCCTCTTGCTCCATATGTTTTTCATTCATCGCGCTTTCAACCTCCTCGTTATCCTCCAATAATGAGAGGCGATAGCTTGCACAAGCTCGTTCCACCTTCTCCTCCAATAATGAGAGGCGATAGCTTGCACAAGTTTGGGCCACCTTCTGTTCTAGTGTCAAACCGAGAGGAGGGAGGGGTTGGAAATCCGTGTTGGAGCTTTTTCTTGGCAAATTATCCATGGCAAGCTCCAACATGGACTTCACTTCGGGTTGTGGGAGATCCAAGTTAGAGCACCCTTCATCTGTGCCTCAAACAAACTGCTCCTCCATGAGCTCCAATTGGCTCTTCAGCTCCGGTTGTGGAGTGGCACATGGTCTTGAAGATTGTCCCATGAAAGCTTCAATTGCCAACTCCAACTTGGATTTCTCCTCGACTTGAGGAGAGAAGTTTTCTTCATATGGGGGAGCTTCTTAAAATCCCCAATGGTATGCTTGTTCTTCTTGGAAGGGAGGTTGATCATAGAACCCGATTCCTTGGCTTCCACCTTCTTGGTTACTCCATGAAGCTTCGGGGTACCCCCATTCGGGTGGTTGTGGATACCCCCACATATTGTAGAAGCCATTGGGATTCATGATTTAACCTACATACACAAAAACAAAATCAAACAAACACAAACCACCCTTCTAAGAGAAGAGTGGGTCAACAAACACAAAACACAAAACAAAACGGCTAAAGTAACGGCCTAACCCTTTTTCAAATAACCTAGAATGGTCCCCGGAAAAGGCCCCAAAACATGAGTCGTTCTAACTACAACATCTCGATCGACGTCCAAGTATAACCTCCAATCGGGTGTAGCATAGGGCAAGCAAGAAATAAGAATTTATCGTATCACGGTGATCTAGGCTTACCCTACTTCAGGTTTAGGGTTTGTTATCTAGCTAACCTAGGGTAGTGATTAATAAAGCTAAACTAACTAACCTAGACTACCCACTAACCTAGCTATTTACAAGGTTGGGAGCTCTCTTGGGTTGAATCGTCCTAGGTCCGTTCTTTGGATCGATGTTGGGTATTCTCCTACCTCGATCGACTCAAATACACTATCCTTTGGAGATGGACTCCCTCGGGAATGACCCGGAACGGCTAATCGATGGATGGGTAGTGCTCTATTCAACCTAGGGTTTTGTATAATGCTAGGAGACTGATCGAATCAACTCCCTCGGGGACTACCCAGAGAATATATGATAGGAGTGACCCGAAGACCAAAGGGGGCTCTAAGGGGATTATCTCCCTCATAGGTCAAAAGCTCAATACATGAAAATGGAAACACGACTCATGTCATTCATGAAAACATCCATCAATTAAGTAAAATCATCAATCAATCATGGATTTTGTCACATACATCAACATGAAAACCAAATCTAGAGCTAGGGTTCTTAAACCCAAGAGAAGAGGGTGAGTTTCTAGAGAGAGAGGAGAGATTACAAAGAAACCTCTAGATCTTCTTATTCTATGCTTGATTCCTAGCTTTCAAGCTTGATCAATGCCTTCAATTAAGCTCCAAGATCCCTCCTTCTCTCACTAGAATTCCCCTTTGGTGTTTTGGGTTGAAACCCTAGAGAAAGAAAGTGTTCCTTCTCCAAAACCCCCTCTCCTTTCTCTCTCCCCGCTACTGTCTTCATATTTTCCCGAAAGTGACCAGTTCACGGCCGCGTTGGCCAGTTCATGGTCGTGAACACCTAAACGCGTCCGTGAACTCAGTGTCGTCTCCCAAAAGCATTGCTTCATTCTCTTGGGTTCACGGTTTGTGCTCCAAGTTCACGGTCATAAAGATTGTGAACTCCCTTGGCGTTAGTAACTTCTGGAAGCGCGCTGGACGCCTCGATGTTCATGGATACGGTTCAATTATCACGGTTGTTTTTCACTTTTGGCACTTTTCGACCTCCAATCGACCCGAAACTCGTCCTCGACCTTCCCACGCGTGTTAGGACCTGAAATGTATAAAAAACAAGCACAACCTAGCGTGAAATATGTCGACGGACAATGGAAATTCAAAGCCAAACTATCAAGATATGAGGGGGTAAAATGTGTACAATTCGACCCGAATCACCCGACAACATTTGTTTTCCTGTGCTCATTCTATAAAGAATCTAGATAACAGATCTCTTTTATTTAAACCTAAGAGTTGCGGGTGCGACTTAAGCACATATTTATCTATGAAAATGAATTTATATACCTGATATCCTCCTAATAATACATGCCACATTCAAAACAAACGTAAAAAAACTAGTACAAAAATATTATGAAGGTAGAGTAATTTTCCATTGCAATGGTACGTGACAGTTTTCTATACGCACACATGTCTCTAATGGCGATTGAATTTTTTTTATTTGAATATATATCATAAACAAATATTATTTTGCATATCACAATTTGATTTTGTTTTATCTTATTGGAAAAAATAATAAATCTGAGTTAAATAGGAAGCTATAATAAGTTGTTGAGCAAATGAAAATTAAAAATGATTGAGGGAGTCTCGTTGGCATGCAAATGAATGAAGAAATATTTTTTCAATCTCTTTCGAAAATCAAATTTAAATAGATGTTTAATTCAATTTCAACTTTTAAAACAGATAATCACTTCTCAAAGACGGGCCATTGCAAACAACAAAAATTCAAGGAAATATAACTACGACATAGATGGACATATTTCTAATCACATTCTTCATCTATTTCACTATCAGTCTTAGTGGATTCTGTTGCTTCCCCTCCCTTGATGATGAGAAAATTGAGCAGCTCATCTAGTGCCACATCAACATCATCACTCGTCATCAGCTTCTCGGCCACTTGGGCAGGGGTGACCTGTGCATCCTCGATCAACCTCTCAATTTCTTCATACAACTTGTGGGTCCCAGCATCCCTCCCCAAGTAAGCCTTGGCTAGTGCAGTAGGACATATGGATATGCATATCCATCCGACCCGGCCGCAATAGGGTTGAATCGAGCCTATCCTTGTGGTTGGTCGTAAACACTATAATCCTCTCATCCCCGCAGCTCGACCATAACCCATCGATGAAATTCAATAACCCAGATAGTGTTATCTGTAACCAAAGCATTTAAACAAAACCAATGAAATCTGAAGCAAAATTTTGGATTGTTACAAACCTGAGCTGTTTTTCGATCGGGCAAATCACCGCCACAATCAATATCCTCAATGACTAGAATAGACCTGTTGGCAGTGGCGAGCAACACACGGCGGAGTTCGCTATCATCGCTTATGGAGGAGAGTTGCAGATCGTAAACATCAAACTTCATATAATTAGCCATGGAAGCAATCAAGCTGGATTTCCCAGTTCCAGGCTGGCCATAGAGTAAATAGCCCCTTTTTCAAGCCCGCCCCACCCTTTTATAGAAATCCTTCCTGCAACGGAACCTTTCCATGTCGTCAATCACCGCCTCCTTGAGCGAGGGCTCCATCGCCAAAGTGTCGAAAGTTGCGGGGTGCTTTAAGTTGACATTAGTTCACTTCCCACCACTGTATCGATCAATGGTGTGAATCTTCAAGACTCTCTCGTTGTTCCGCATCCTCTTCACTGTTTCGATGATGAAGGGAATGTAAGAGCCAAGAATGAGGTCCTTGTCCTGTTTGGGGAGGGTCAGGTGGAAACAACGCTTCTCCGGGGTGGGCTTGTTGGGGTCGGATCCCGTGTTGCGGTGGAATCGCCAGCTAAGGTCGACGCCTTTGAACTCGTCGGAGATTTTCTCATTGTCTTCGAATGAGAGGATAAGGTTCTTGTTGCCGGGGGTTTTAGTGACCCGGAGGTAGTCGGCTTTGTTGCTGATTTTGGTGGCGAGGTAGGCCTCTGCGGCGTCATATATCTCATTGCGGGCGTAGCCGCCGGAGGAGTTGTCGTCGAAGACTAAAGTGAGGAGCCCGTTGGGATGGGGTTTGAAGAACCATTTACGGATCAAGCGGAAGAGGTATGATCGGAGTTCGTAAGGGGGAGAGTATTGAACGCCGTCTTTAAAACCATCACAGTCGTGGTCAGGGAGGCGTACCATGAGAGCATTGATGATGGTGACGCTATTTGCATTCTCGACATGATTGGGTGTTTTGTTTTTCTCGATTTTCTTTAGTTTTGAGCTTTGAATTGTGGAGAATATATTTATATCAGTTATAATAAGGTTTTGCATTTGCATGTCGTCCTTTTTTCCCTAGCCTCTAACAAGAAGATATGTGTTAGTGCGGGATACTAGCCATGGTTGAACAAAAAAACTTGTTACTCCTTTTTGTGTTGTAGAAAATCTGTTACTCCTAACCAACGTATCGAAATTTATTGGTTTAGTTTTTCCTTTTCTTACTTAGATTGGTGAATTATTCAAATACTATTACAGTGTATAAATTCATTTTATAAGCCAAATGTCAATACTAACTAATCAAGAAATCAATTGAGAATATATTTATTTATTTTTTTGTAATTGTTGTGTTCATGAAGGTAGCATACGCCAAGTAAATTTACAGTTGATGTTATACCATTTATTTGTGACTGGATTATTTACTCAAGTAATTGCTTTTGATGGACGGCAGTAAATTTGGAAATAGATTGGATAGTACTTAATAAATATGCTATGCCTTGAGTTACATTTATTATTATTATTTTCTGTTGAATCAGTTGCTTTTATTTCGAGAAGAAACCGATACAACGAGTCGAGATTACAATCCCGAGAGGAACTAACTAACTCCCACTGCTATCTGTAAGTATGTATACTATAGAAGTACCAACAAAACAAGACCTAAAGGTATCCCAACCCCACTAGTGCATCCTGAATCTCTCTATTCCCACAAGAGATAAATAGCAAATCCATTCTTATCAACTCTGCAACCTGTTCTGGGGAACGACAAGGAGATCCATGAGTCACTCCGCACTGTTCCTTCCAAATAAACGTCATTAACAGACACCAAATTAGGGCATGCCAGTCTCTTGTTCGAGCATTGCCAACCAGGATCATTGAGCTTACCATTGCCTCCCAATCTGAGTGCAGCATGAGTTGACACTTCAGTGCAGCAGCTAGACGACGTGAAAACGAGCATTGAACAAAGAGGTGATCTCTGTTCTCTACTGCCAAACCACAAAGAGGGCAAGAAGCATCCATGATTTTACCCCACTTCTGCAGCTTGTCCCTTATAACAATGGCATTTCTCATGATAAGCCAGACAATCAAGCTAAAGCGTGGAGGGCAATTCCTGCCCCAGACAAGTTTATACCATGAGATTGTAGGAGCCCTGTTTCTCAAGGTTTCCCAGACCCTACAAACTGAGTAAACCGTCATCTCCTTTGATTCCCAGAAAACAGTACTATTTTGCTTCTTCATCCAAGGGGAAATCACATCCCTCATTTTTAGAAGTTTCCTCTAGGCCCATGAGCTACTGTATTGCACTCGGAAATACCAAAGATCCTGCTGTCTACACTTGTACTCGTTCATCCACCCTACCCATAGAGTCCCAGAGTTCATAAGAAAAAGCCCGAGCAAACGGATGGAGCATGCCTGGTTAGAGTTACATTTATACATTAATGGTGAAGAGACTTAAATTAATGGTCCATAACCACAAAGTTAGATTAGATTTTTATTTTTATTTTGTTACATCATAACTACAATGATGTTTTATTTTTATTTTTTCTTATGAAAAACTTGTATTCCTTTATTAAAGGGTTAACAAAAACCGAATTACATGAATCATTTCCCGACAATGGAGGGTGATTCAACCAAATTTTATTTTCTTATTTAACGAAAAAAAATCTCAGTTTCTTCCCAGTTACATTATGGTCGAGAAAGAATATGAGCAGATACATTGCCCTCTCTCTCAGAAAGTTGCCATAAATGTTTTCCTAAGCAATGGCCTTTTGTCGAATTTGTTCACATATGGTTCTCATCTCTTGTTCAGAGAGTGCTTCATAGTTTAATTTAGTGGCAAGAGTCTGGCAATTTGTCTCGATTTGAAGAGGCAAGAATTTGTGCACTTGAAGTCCTCGATACTAATTCTAACGTATAGGATGTCTCATCGCAATGCAACCTTACTAAATAGACATTGTGAAAACTTTCATTATCAAATTAGCCATTACACGTGAACGAGAAAGAAAAGATCTCACTCAATTATGATGCATCAATCTATTGAGAACGGTGGTGGTGAGATTGTCGAAATCTCAAACATGTTGATGATGAAGTAGATGAGCAATAAAGTAAGAGCTTAAATGTAAATGACAAATGATATTTGTTAATGAGGTTCCACTGTGGTGCAATTCTCTACTTCCTTGCTCAATGTTGGCCAAGGTTGTCAAACCGGTTTAAGTCATTGAGCCGGTTAAGTAAAGAGTTTGAAATTTGATGGTCTAATTAGGGTCCGACCAGTTTGAGTCGTTTTTGACGTTTTCTATATATATATATGGGTCACACTCGTATGCGTCAGACACATACTATGCGACAGGATTTCTACACCGTAGATCTAATCTAACGGTGTTTAATAATTGGAATTAAATTATTTAATTTTTACAATTTTTAAATGATTAGTTAGTCATATTACTTTTTTATGCGTACCCTTTAACCCCTAAACAAACTTTTCAACATATTTTCGAATTATAGTACCAAATTTTATTCTAATCATGTCTCCAATCCATTAAGTTATATTTACTTACAATTTTAGTTTGGTGATTTATTCCTTTTCCCACTCATGTCAACGCTCAAACCCCCTTTCCAATTGCTGTCTGTAGTGGCTAACGAACCCTCTCCTCTCATCCTGGCTATCGATTGAAGCAATTGGATTTTGCGCTTCGCATTGATGTTTAATCCCTATGGATTAAGAGAGTGATCTGTTCGAGGCATGATGGATTGAATCTTGTGCTCGAGAGGCGGATGAGGAAGGATCGGAGAAGTGAAGAGTGCAGACTCGAGAGGTGGGCCGAAGTGCGGATCGCCGATAGCGGTGGGTAGGTACGCTGCCGTACGCTGTCGTCAATTGACGGTGAACGACTATGACATTTACGTCCTGAAAACAATGACTAAGGCTGAAATGGAGAGAGGGGATTGGGTCTCGTCAAGGGAATTCTCTTGGTCGGAGTCCAGAATAGTGAGAAAGTTTGGACGATGAAGAGAGACGGCCGTCGGATTACGGTGGTGACGGCGGCAACTGGATAATTGGGAATTTGGGGGGCTAGGGAAGACGACGATACATGAAAAAATGGCATCGTTTTGTGCTCGTCTCTGAATCGAAAGTGGCCTGGAGAACGGCGTCGTTCTATATGTGTAGCTGAAAACAAATTATTTTTGTAATGGTGTGAGGTTCGAACCAGCGTCCTGGTCATTACCATGGGCATTCTTCACCATTCATGTTGAACAAGGATTTTGATTCAATATACTTCCACTATTTTATTTATAACTTGAAGGTCTATCATTTCCTCTGTCTCTCTCTCTCTCTCTCCAATGCATATGTGATATGTGTAATTACGTCTGTCTTCGGTTCATAAATAGTGATGGCCGAAAAAAATTTTGGTCAAGAAAGAAACAGTACTAGGTTGGCTACTGATAAATTGATTCTCATTCTTCAGGTGTTCTTTATAGCCAGTAGAGATGGCCTCCCTCGTTCGGTGGTGGAGCCAAACGCAATAGAGGAATATGCTTGTAAATAGCCTTGTCATTGGTGGGGATTTAATCTGTACTCCTTGTTAATAGGCTTGCTTTCCTTAGTTGGATCAGTTTAGGTGTCAATAGAGGAATTCTTTTTTTGGACGTAATGGTATTAATAAATTAGGTTTGTTTGGCGGTCTATATAAAGGGACGCCAAGCCTAGAGTTTACCTTGTAAAAAATAACTTCTGCCGTTTTCCCTGGTGACTTTAGCAAAAGTAAGGCTTTTCTTCTGCATTGGCGGGGAGAAACTAATTGCAATGGAGAAATCTCGGTACAGTGCAACAACTAAAATAGCTCTTTCTTTTGGTCGTTTGTGTTGTTCCTTTCTTACAACCTTTTTCCTTTCATGTATGTTCTTTATTCGCTCCTTAAGCCGCTTTGACTTTTGTTTGTTTCATGTATGTTCTTTTTTTTTTTTTTTTGTTTAGCATGTCGAGCCATGATACTAAGAAAGTTGTTGGATCCATATCGCTCCTTAAGTGTTTATGATGTACCTATGTATTTTAATTTTTGTTAAATTCAAATCGTAGATGGAATCTCCGGTGACTGCATCTGGAAGTTCAGCTCCCACTGTTGTTCCTTTCACACCTAGCGTAAACGGATTTATTTATATAGATTCCGACTCAGACGCATATGGCGATGATTCACACAAGAGGCAAAAAAATGCGGCTGTGGAATATATAAATGTATCGGGGAAGGTATATAGAATTTATTTAAAGAAATTACACCTGTGTGATTTTAAAATGTTTATGATGTACCTATGTATTGTAAGTTTTGGTAAATTCAAATCGTAGGTGGAATTTCCGGTGACTGCAATAATGGCGTTAGATAATGATGAGGATCGTTCCATTGCGTGTTTCATCTTTGGTGATGGTCTAGAAGATGATAAATGGCTTGTTGAGAATTTTGGCCATAGTTTAAGTCGTCTAGAACTGAAGGACTTGCTGCCAGAAACATGGCTTCATGGTTATGTAAGTATTTTGTAGTTCTGTTTTGGTAAGGCATACTTGACCACATATTAGCTATACTAATCTTGGGTTTTGCTTATTTTAGATTTAGACTGCTGTAGCTTGTCAATTAGCTGTTGATGTTAGGGCTTGGGGGAAAAGGGGACCTTGGTATCTTCCATCCAATTTTGAGGTAAGCAACAATTATGGAAAACTCTTTACAGTAAGTTTACTTTTTTCTTTCTCCCAAAGTTGAATAGTGAATGTGAACTGCTACCCAGGATTTGGTTGTGAAATGGGTTGGACTCCAAAAAAAAGCCGTGGAAAAATATAAGAACCTATATCTTTGCGGCACCTTTGAATGCACCAAGGTATGGTGTAATAATATTAGTAATTTTTCCAGGGTACTATATTCTCTTAATGTTTTGCCCTTTACTGTATAGTCCATTCATTCTTTCGTCATCATTTACTTGTTTATTTATTTCAGATATATTTGCCAATGAATGATGAGAACCGCCATTGGTTTCTTATTGTGGTTTTCATGGACCGAAAGGTAGTGCATGTAGTGGACTCTTTGCGTTGTGATTTGGGTTTGCTGGAAAATCGTAGGAAAAGGGTGCAAGGAATGGTGGGTGATCAAACTATTCCCTTCGTGTACATTTAGTAAGTCAATTTTCTTTTTTTTATATTTTTGTACTGTAATAGTTACGTGGTTAAGTTTGTTGTTACAGTTGAAATTCTTTTACAAGATGCTTCAAGAATTTCCAGACAAGCCATCAACCTATAAAGTGCCCAAAGTGCATAAGTTCCAAATCATAAGTCCTCCATATGTTTCTAAGCAAATTGATGAGTTAGTATTTCTTTGAGTATTTTGATTATTTCATTTCGATTCACAATCTTATTTTCAATAATAAATGCTATTTTTCCACGTAGCTATGAGTGCGGGTTTTACGTCTGTCAGTGGATGTTGCACAGAGAGGCTGATAATAATTCGTATACGGCGGTATAATACAATCCTTTCCTTCTAAATATGATTCCATCCACGTGAGATTCTACACTATCAAATCGAAATCAACATGTTAAGAGTAATGTTATAAATTTGCTGCAGGTTTGTAGTAATAGAGGTCGACTATCCTTGGCCATAAGTTTAGTCAAAGATCTCTCAAATACAAGGTGCTCTCAAATTATTGATGAAGCAAGGGCCGTTTATGAAAGACATTTCAAGGGGAAAATCAGCTCAAAATGCCAAAAGAGTTTATTTGATTCATTTTAGAAAAGTAGTTGTTTTTGTTTTATTGGTAGTCGGTCGGTTTTATACTTTTATTGGTAGTCGGTCGGTTTTACTATCACTTTGATCCCAATTGAATTCATTTTAGATTGGTTTTGGTGTTTACCTTTATTTTTTCTTAAATCCGAATGTTGGTTCACGTTTTTGTGGCTTTGTTCCTGATGCTTGTTCAGCTGAGATAAGGCTTATAGAAGGCGCCTAGGCTTGAGCCTTATGCCCCATTCATTTGCCATTTCATTTTATGTTTTTTGTTGTCACAACAAAAAATAAGAAATATGAGTAAAAAAAACGTGGTTCATTTCTCCTGCAAAACAACAAAATCTAGTTTCCTGGAAATTTAGTCGCGCGTTTCTCCCCCATTCCCAGCGCAAAATTGCTATTGTAGTTAAATGAGGTTCTGGGTTCGAATCACATCACCCAAATTTTTTTTCCTTTACTTCCTTCTCGACCATCATCTTGGAACTTTCTTCCCTCTTAAGTCCACACCGGATAAACTCATAAAACCTGAACCAGTTTCCGCGTCAAGAAACTATTGACCTTTCTCCTAGTCAGTGGGGTTTTTTGTTATCTTTATTTCGGCCCAAAAAACGCTCCAATTCTTGGCTTTGGCTTTGGCC